CACTCCAATATGGTCTTATGTACGAAAAAAATAATTCCGAACGATTTCGGTGGAATTCTTAGAATTCCAGCCCGGGTTTTTTTTCTTAAATTTCAGCGACTGTTTCGTTACCCAATGCGCAAAAAATTCAAAACATATGCAACATTATTTTGCACACATTTTCTCAGTGAATGCATATCTATAGAAAAACTAAATATATACTAGATAGAAGCGGGCAACTGCGTCATTCAAAACATTATTAACTAAAATACTTATATTCTACTCTATTTATTTATTTTTTGATTGATTGCATCGCTAATGACGCTGATTATTTTCTATCGATTTCAGAAGAATTTCATTCATTCAAAATCATGAACACCTGTACGTATTTGTTTCTAGTCTTATTACGTGAATTTGCAATTATTTCCCCACTTTCGAATAAATCGAATTTTGATTTGTCGCAACGGATCTGAAACCAAACACAATATCCACATCATAAGATTTTCATTTTTCAATAGCCAGAAATCAATGAACTCTTTTTCCTCTAATTTGAATAGCGTATAGTGTACTTCAAAGATCAGTAGTGCTAATTGATTTTGGACTGGTATAATGATGAATCAAATAATATTCTCACACCCATTTACTGCTACTTTTAACTTTCTACTCAATTTTGTTGAATACACAACATGACTTAAAGATTTTGTAGTGAGATACCGAAATAGTAATATGAAGTAGTCGATTGATAAATTTTCACATGAATAACAACAACAAAAAACACAAAATAACAACAAATACCAAAGAGAATCTTCAATAAACAAATTAAAAAAAATATATTTATAATAACTATGGGTCCAATGCATGCATACACTGAAATGAACCAATCCCCTAAAGAGCTTCTTTATACTACTACTTTACACAGAAACATAGATACAAAAAACCTAGTGACTAAAGATAAACAATTTAATAACATATCCACTTATAATATCAGGCATATCCCATATAGTTGTTGTGCCACGAATAATTCTCCGCGGCGGACCTTTATGCGGAGTACAATGTTTATGCTAGCGACAGCAGGATAATATTTCTCCGCAAAGCCAGTACATGGGATGATTATCGCCTATAAGCACTTCAAAATGATTGCAATGACACACGATTGAATCAGTTGAAATGTTGATAAATTTCCTCTCCCTTGTTCACTTAAATTGTGCAGATAACATGGCAACCGCCTTAGGTTCTTATTTTCTTAATATTTTGATAACAATTGAGATGAAACGTCTTTTCACGGAAAATGCAAGCACATCTGATTTTTTCGGGGAAAATATTATTAATTTCGTTAGATTCAAACAGCTTTCGCATTTCAAGTCATTCGAGTTTCGTTGCATCAAGTGCAGAATTGAAATGTAATTCAGCAAAAAAAGAGTCATTAAAATCTTAAGTTGAAATTCAACCGTAACAATGAACATATGTTGAATCTTCGTTCCATCGGGATTAAAAGGACGACTTCTAAAACTTCAAAAGCTGACTGTCACCCAATTTCGGAACAAGCTCTTTTGAGCTACTGAATGTTTTTTCTCGATAGATATAGTTGTGTGTATCAATGTGATTTTCAAACGTAATGTTTGTATTGCATACAAATATAATACAATTTTGTGTTGTGTGCATTGTTAAATGCGCATCATTTTTCAACAGAAACGAAGCGAGCGACTCTGTTGTTCGTAAGACAACCGATTATAATACACGTAAAAATTGTACATAAGAGTGAGCGAGATATCATGAGTTTTTGGCACCCGATTTTTTTCCATATAAGCTAATGCAGTTGAATATAATATTATTAAATGTTTACACATGGAAATATCTCGAAACCGGATGGGTAAATCGGCAAAATGGACCGTGGTGTTACTCCCATAGGGAGTGTAAACACCCAGCTGGTTTGATGGCCTAGAATACAAATCCGCTGGAATTTAAGCTGATCCATGAATTCTCAGGATTTGACCAGATTCCAGTGCTTTCTTTTTTATGTGCATCTGCAGTGACTTTTCTTGCTCCGCCCTCGCCCTGTTGCAAACATTTCTTAGCGCCCTTAACAGTAGGGCAGCCGGACATGATTTTTCGAAAGACACAATTTTTGAAGACCATGCGAAGTTTTTCCCAGATTCCATAAAAGGATCTGTAGCCACTATATGCTAATGATATCATTACCATAACGATTTTGACCCATTAGTAGATATTTAAAAGTGATGCCTTCAGCGCTCTCGTGCGACCTCAAATCGTTTGCGCTCTGGTGCATTGTACCACTCCGCTCCCGGTAGAAAAAAGTCCATGTGCATCTGTAAAGTCATTCTACCAATGTTTTGTATGGAATTTGACCACAATGTAAAGAAATTGAAGTGCTAGAATCAGGTCAAATCCTGAGAATCCATGGATCAAAAAAAACTTATTTAGAGTAACACCACGGTCCATTTCGCCGATTTACCCAGCCGTTTTCGAGATATTTCCATGTGTACATTTTGCCATAGAAGCCAATGCAATGGCAGTGGCACTCCGAGGTTTTCATACAAACTTCCCATGTGGACGGTCGCGACACAGGCAAAAATCGAAAAAAAAGTTTAATTTTGTTTCGATTCTAATACAGTATTTTGTGTGCCCAATCCAATGGTGCTATCGCCACATCGAAATTCGCGCTCTTTATTACTTGATTTGCATTGCAAAAGCAATTCACAACCAAAACCACCATTAAAATGAATCATCACCATCGATTTGAAAGTGTATCACACTTTTCTGTCGCCGTCTTTCGAAAATATATGTAGATCAAAAGCTTCTGCGTATTTATGTCATTCTTATGTCGAAGAACTCTAAGAGTGCGTCTAAAATTGTTGATTTTGACATAGAATTGACATAAGACGATCAGCTTTGAAAGTTTTAGAAGTCGTCCTTTAATCATTGTTGTGCACGTTCCGTAATTTTGTCACACACACTGTGCGAAGTGAATTTTTATTCTCATCAATCAATTAATATGGATGTTCCTCGATTGGCAGGATGCTTTCTCGAAACGATACACATCAGAAAGTCGATCAAAAAAAGCGTTACATCTACAATCAGGTTAATGATATTAATGTGGTAACATGTATTGTCGAATATCCATAGGATTGAGAAATTTGTCTCTACTTTGTGAAAGTCTCCCCCTAAAAATATATATAATGCTTCCATTGACAACAACAACAAAAGTAACAAAGTATAGCCCATGGAGCGTGTTCCAACAACGCCTAATTTGGAAAATCGTTATATCATTCAGCAGGTGGTAGTTCAGTATCTCAGTAGATATACGTTAAGGGTGTCTAACATTTTTCACACAAAAACTTAATTAAAACGTCGAACAGCATACAGCGATTATCACACAAAGGAGTCGTCACCGAAATCAAACCACACAAGCTACAATAACTAAACCAAAAATTAGAACATACAAAGTGGCTGCTTTGAAAGATATATGTAGAAAAAAATGACCACATTCAAACCAAACAAGAATAAAAAAAAAACTATATTGAAAAAAGAACCATGTCCATGTACAACTACCTATAGAGCTTAAGGTATTTGCCCTTTCGTTGAGCAAATGAAATACAATTTAAAAGAAAAATAACATCTTTGCTTCCCTGTTATAGGATTCCATATATGAAATTAACAAAACCAGTGCAAATGATAGAACATACAGGAAAATTAAAATGTCTTCTTCAAAACGAAATCTTTCAGTTAATTCGAATCGATAAATCATTGACACTATTTCGATATAGGAAATTACATGAAAAAAATAATTAAAAATCGTTGCAATGATAAGATAGAAGGAAAAATTGAGAAGATTTTTTTCTTTCCATTTTTGTTAAAGTTAACAAAAAAAAAAAACTAAACCGGCACATTTTTAATTGACAAAAATGTGTCGGGAAATGTTTAAAACACCACTAAAATTTATAATCAAACAATTAACATCAAAATCTATGTTCAGCATTCTTCTTTTTCTGAAGATTATATATAAATTTAAGCTATATAAGACTAGGTCTTTCTAACTTCATTCAGATCATGATGAAGTCAACAGAAATTATGCAATATATGGCATAGGATAAGGAATTATTATTAAAAGGAATTATTTATAACGTCATAAAAGCCTAATTACTCTTCAATAAACAAGTAAACCAAAAATTAAAAATGAATTATTGTACCACACTCAATTAAACCAGTCCATTACTACTGAATCGGAATCAAATGAATTTTCACTCCGAAGAACACTAGATATCCACACATCAACCAAAGTGTGAAACTACAAACGGAGTGATGGATTTGTCTGGTAATAAAGGGCTAAATCATTTATTTAGATTAATCGAAAATAAACTCCAAGCCGTTTAAATTTCGGATGTTCAAATTGATTTGAGTTTTTTTTTGTCTCCTTCAAAATAATGACAAAGAAACAATTTACTTCTTCGTCATTATTTTGGTCGTCAATTTCTTCGTTTGTTAAAAAGTTAACACTTAATTTTGAAATCTATGTTTAGCAGACGACATAAAAACAATTAAAACCAATAATAGATTTCCGATGAATTTTGATGGTGATTCTTTTGCAAGATTTTATTTCGGGATTTTTGCCAAAGAAGAAAATAGGAAAAAAAAAGATGAACCGTTCACGGTGTTAGTTCCCATTTTGTTAAATTATTTAGTCTAACATGATGATAAATAATTTATGTGATCTGACAATATGTATAAATAAAAAAATAAAATTTATTTCGAAATCAAAAATACACTGTTTTTTTTCTTCTGTCATACAATTTGAACATTGTGTGTATATCTTGCGGCCAGCTTTTGGGACCGTTGTTTCATCGCTTGGAAGTAGATTGATGGGCACATAGCTCGAAGCCACAAAACCGGTATAAATTTGAATGGTATCATTTCTTTGTCTTCACGCAAAATTGCTCGAACTGCTTCGTATGCATATTCATCTGGTTTTTGTCCGGCTGCCGTTTCAGGATCCATTACTAAAATGAATTTTAATTTGATTTAAAAGATAAAATTGGTACAAACAAAACCATAATTATATGTATAGGAACCAACCTCCGTGTAATGCACCGTAGCCAGTTAGAGCATTTCGTGAAACCTCGGTTGCAACATAGCTAGGGCTGGACACAAGCACATGTATATTATGTGCAGCCATTTCACTTCTTAAACAATCAGCAAATGCTTGTAGTGCATGCTTAGATGCAGTATAAGCTGACCGATATGGAATCGGCAATCGGCCAACCACACTGCTGATAAAAACAATTTTACCTGATTTACGTTCAATCATCGATGGTAAAAATGCTTTGAGAATGAATAAAAATGATTCATCGATTATTAAATAATATCAAATGTTGAAATTATTTTTTTTTTCTTTTGTTTGAGTGATGCTGTCTAAAGAGTTCCTATCACTAAAATTAGATGAAGACTAATAGAACCTTTCGTTAGTGCGATTGCGCCAAAATAATTTACATTCATCAATTGAAGATCCACCTCTTGTTTGACGCTCATCACATCCGACCGCAGGCTAATGCCACCATTGTTTATGAGGATGTCGACATGCAAACATGTTCGTAGAATATGATGCGCCTTATCGGACAATTGATTGAGTTCGTTGAGGTCAAGCGGTACGATCTCTGGCCGAATTGATTGGATGCCATTCGGGAGTTTACTGTTCAATAGATTGCGTCGAACTCTTTCCAATTCCCCTGCACGACGTGCGGCAAGCACCACTCGACAGCCCATTGCATAGAATTCATGAGCTAAAGCCTCACCTATGTACATAAAAGACGTTTTTAATATTTCGTGTTAATAATGAAAAATGTGAATATCTTAATAATATTTTATTATTATGTTCTACTATAATAGTAGCTCACCAATGCCTGAACTAGCTCCGGTTATTACGACCACCTGTTTGATGAAATCAGATTGAAAATATACACACATTAAATTAATTGAAAACTCAATGTCAAATCTATCGTTTGCACTGAAAAGATAATAGCTATATTCCATGTTGATATAGATATTTCTGAAGTTTCACTGCACCATAAGTTGTTATGTTTATAAATGTTGGCGACATTTGTTTAGAATAAAAAAAGTTCTACTCTTGCATTAAAAAATAAAATAGGTCACACCTTTCCAACGCAGGCTAATCGAGCACTTTTAATTTTGTGCTCATTGTAAATTTTTTGGAGTATTAACCAAACCACAATTGCTAAAGCAAACAACAATAACACAGTCGACGCAACCATACTATTTGTTTTGTTTTTGTGCGCAGATAAAATCAAATTTAAACACACACAGAGTATTTAGACCAAAAAACTAAAGAAACTCTTTGATCGTATTTTTTGAGAATAAATTGTTGAAAATTTATCCAAAATGATCTGAATCAGTTGATATGAATTCCCATTTGTTTTATATAAAAATTTACTAGATACGTTGTGATGCAGTTTGAATCTATACAATCACTGAATCGATTGAAATTAACCCACGTAAACGCATTTAATCGATGACGAGATTGGCGCTTGCGATAGTGATTTTTTTTTTTTCATTTTAAATTCCAGAGATCACATTCAGTAAATCAGCACACGATCACATCGCAACATATATTGGTATACGTTGTCGGTGCTTTCTTCATTGTATAAGCAAAAAGGTGGGATAGTACCTGTTTTGTTATACTGTGCGAATATAGTCGATGTGTTTGCATTGTGTATGATTTCAACATCAATTGACTGACCGGCTTCTCCCATGGCAATGTGAATGTTAAACCACTTTCACCGTACGACTAACTCTTCTACGTAGCAAATAATTTTTGTTTGTTTGATAGTAGTATGACCAATACTATCACAATGCGTTTAATGAATATGTCTGTGAGTTTGCAGACGCCACTCATTACTCGGATAAATGTTATCCATATCTGTTGAGGAATTTAATGCCGATGTGAATCACACATCATTTTAAGTCTGGAAGAAAATATTTTTTTTCCATAGAGTATGCTGGATTTTTTTTTGCATAGAAAAATGTAGGAAAAATGACATGACTCGATGAAATGTAGGAAAAATAATAAAATAATCAATATTGAAAATCCCTTCTACTGAATTGAAGAAATTATAATTATCCATAATTTTTACCACCCAAGAATGTAAATCTTAATTTATTTGAACTTACTCTGGACGCATTTTATTTGGTTGCTTTGACATTTATCTAGACTATTCAATTTGTAGCGAAGCATTTTTCAGCGAAATTTTCAATTTTTCAAAAGGAAAATTCAAACGATTCTACAACACTCAAAAACTGAAAGGGTAAAGTGTTTTAATGGGCTTGCGTGTTGCGTTGAGTTGAGTTTTCACAAAAAAACAGTTGGATTCTTTTCATGCCGACTTACCTACATTCGGTAGTGTATCAATATCGATTAGTAGACACGGTCCAAATAAATACAAATATATATATATTCTTTCCCCCAAAAAAATGTACCGTACCTATGTTTACATATGCTTTTCAGAATTAACTATCATTTCGGTAAAATTGTATTGTATTCAAACGTTCATTGACCTGTTTCACCGGCTGAAAATAAGCTTTCAGTTTAGGTTAAATCATGTCAAAGCTCATACAGTAATAACAAAGTATATTTCTATCAAATAAACAGCTGTCTGTTTGAATTGCTATAAATATCATACCTGATACTTGAATCGCAATGCTTGCTGACTGAAGCGAAAAATGTACAGAAATGTCGATTGGATAAAATTCTTGCACATATCTATGTGGCACCCAACAAAACAGAAAATGAATGCAGGGAACATGGTCCGTCCAATGACGATATATTTCATTGATTTTCTTGTCACCTCAATATGTATTGGATTTTTTTCTCTGAAATATAAGTTGAAATGCGTGCGTTATTAATAATATTTTAATTATGACGGCACATTGCTAACGATTTTGAGTTGAACCTTAACAATGCGGCGTAAAGAAAAGTTCAGACGAAGCGGTTTCACACAGCATACATATTCCTTTTGTCGTGTATATATATATTATGTGCAGAGTCGTCGTCGTCACTTTTCCCCAGACACATAAACTATAAGTTGAGCTCTGTGTCGTGCGCGCTCAAATTATATGAGTTTTATACATATCACTAGATAAAACGAATTTTACTTTAACCTAAATTCTAGGATAGACAAGTGAATTTACATTGACTTTACAATATATTGCGTGGAAATGACTTTGACACATTCGTTGTGTGTATGGAATATGTATACAAAAAAATTTCCACATTCAACACAGTCCATTCAATGGAATGAAACACCATCATTCTTGTGCAGTTTTTGTTTTTGTGTTTCAAGAATATGTGTATCGAAACAACTTTCATGGAATTATGAATTTTCTATTTTCTATTACATTTTAAACGAGCTTGACCAATATTCACAGAAAGTAGAAGCAATAGGAATCGGCGTTAGATTCATTCATGATTATTTGATCCAGAAGAAATGAACGAATGCTCCAATTTCTTTCAGACAGTTCAATTCTATTGTTTTCATATTTTACAACAACAACAAAAACAAACAACATATATTCATTTTAAATGAATTGAGCAAATGAAGCGTTTATTAAACTAATAAGTGTATGTGTCTCAATGAAAGGAAAAACAAAAATGGATCTCTTTCATGAAATTCATAGCAAAATTTGTAAATAACGGAACTTTTTTTTTACCCTCATACTAAATCGCTGTTAATTAATTTTCAATGTAAAAAGTTTTCAACAACCCGTTTGATACCAAAAGAATTTCAGCACTGTCTACAATGTAACAATTTTCTACATGCACTAGAAAGCCCAAGGAACTCATTCAAATAGTGATAAAAAGTTTTCGTCTTATCGGTTCCCGCTATTCACAAACTTACTGTTATCATTAAAAATTCAAATTAAGTACAAATGTATGCAAATTGTTAGGAGTACTAATTTGGCGGCAATTGTTTATACGTTTGTTTTGCTATTTTTGCTATGCTAACACTCTTGACTTGTTGTCGAAAATTACAAAATCACGATGCAAAACACTCACATCTGAAAATGACATTAGTTCTAACCTAATTACAATAATACGTTATTCAGTATTGTTTTATTTCCGAAAATTGAGTTTTGTTTCGTCATATCTTGTTTAATTTTCTGAATGGTTTCTTTTTTCTGCATTTAATTTATAATAATTTTTAGTCAGTAATGAATAACACTCTAACTAGAACGAACGAACTAATAAAATATTCAAGGAATTTCATATCATTTTCTCAAATTTATAATTTACGATTTCAAAAAATCTATGTATCATGTCTTTTAATTCGATTCAGCCGTTAGAACCGTTGCTGGACGACATTGGTGGGTTCCATTTTTTTCGCACGTTCCGCCATCATCTTAAAGATAATAAAAATCATGATAAAGCTGTAAAATTCATACCTCGAATTAATTGAATCTTTGTTAATAATAAAATACCAAATGAAAAAATGGCGGGTATGTCACGCGTAACCAATGCGAAAAGAGAAATGAACTCTTTATATGTTCGTCAGCACCGCCTAAGACAGCCAATAAAATATCATCGGAAAACTTTTGCGGCTGATCGCCCACGGTTTTAGCTACACCGTCTGCTACTACTGGTACTTCTGTATTTTCTGATTTTTCTATTTTAGACCAAAACAAAACGAAAAACAATGACAATGACAATCATAATGATGATTTTAAGGTTTAAATTTTCATTTTAGTTGTTACCTTCTTTTTCGTTCGTAAGTTCTGCTGATTCGATGTCGGTTCGTTCGAAATCGTCCGCAATATATTCGGGACTAGATACGAGCACTGTTACGTTATGCTGCGCGACTTCAGCGCGAAGAGTGTCAGCAAAAGCTGTATGTAAACGTAATTGTTCAGAACGATGTTGAATAACCGATGTTGTGTTAGAAAACACTGCTAGCTTACATACCTTGAAGTGCATGCTCAGATGCCGAAAATGATGAACGATATGGTATTGGCACTTTACCAGCTACACTGCTGACAAACACAATTTTTCCGGACTTTCGGGCAATCATTCCCGGCAGCATAGCTGTCCAAAGTAAACAAGCACATTCTTTTAGTTCCTATCGGTTAAATTAATTGAAGACTAATAAAATAAAATGAAAATTCATACATAAAAATGTAATGAAAAATGTGTTTGTGATAAGAATTCATACGTTGAACTTTGGTGGTATTAACGTTCTGTATATTATCGCCTTCAATTAATTTATTCAGAAATAAATCAAATATATGACCGCATCCAAGCATTAAATAAAACACACGAAAACAAAAGTGAAAGGACTCTGACTTGAAATCGATGCTATGATGGTGTTGTGTGAAATCTGATTTATAATTTTCCACTTAGTAGCGTATTGGGGCGCGAAGGCTATCGAACTGTAAGGAAAATGTAGCGAGTAAAATTTCACCTCACCTTTTGTTAATGCGATCGGACTAAAGTAATTAACATTCATCACGCGAATATCGTCATGAATGCTGGTCGATAGCACATCTGAGCGCGGACAAATCGTTGAATTGTTAATTAGAATGTCAACCTGGCCGCATGTTTCCATAATATCCGCGACCGCTTCTTTGGCCGACATTTCGGATACATTTAATTCCATCGGAACTATTTCAGGCTGGTAAACGGGCACGTTTTTCGGTCTCATTGCGAATAATTGCGTTCGTACCCGCTCCAACTCACGTTGATTTGTACCCACAAGCACAACTTTCGCACCGGCACCATAAAATGAAGCTGCTATATTTGAACCCAAAACCGTATTTGCACCAGTTATGACAACAACCTACGCAAATGTGTCACAATTAACAAAATAATAAACTTATTTGAAACATTGAATGCTTAGGAAAAACACAATTCGTTGAAGAAACAAGAACACATACCTTTCCAGGCATTTCCTCGCGTGCCATCTTGACGCGTGAATCTTGCCTCACTCTTTTATACAGCAATATGAGCAAAATTACCAACAGCATTAACAGAAGAATAAGCCAAAACATTTTGATTTGATTTTATCTATTTAAACACTTGATAATTATATTTATGAACGTTATGACCGTTTCACTATTTCTTTTAGCACTTTATTTTCAATTCACCGTATGAATGTGCACAAGACAATGATTATTTTCTTTTTTAGTTTTTGCTAAATTGGATTTAATTCCACCATGTGTCAGTCGCTGATGTTTAACACATATTACCCATAAAATCACAATTCAGCAACAAGTAAGCTATGGTAGTCGTCTCTCAATCATTATTACAAATTTGGTATTCATCTTTTAAGACAAACGCGATTTTATTACACCGATTCAAATCAACACTGTTTTTGTTGCTATGAAATCTCATGCATGATTTGATTGTATTTTGGTAAAAAAAAAAAGATTATTTGCTTCCGAATATGGTCAACGATGGGCGAAGTGAGATTCAACACTGTCGGTTGTTTTCCCGACTATTTTAATGGTGAGTCTTGAATGTTCTTTCATTTGGATTTTGAAATTAAAGCAATGTTTGAACAATTTCGGCGAGTGGTAACCGAATCGGAATAGTGTGTGATCTCCGTTGCTCTGCTACCCAAACACTATGGATAGATTGTTAGAAATCTAGCGTTTATGCGTAACGGCTCCGTAGTCAAACTAACAACGACATATAAAACAATAACAACAACACAAATACACTCACAACAAACACTGCCGTAAGAATAAGCGGCAGCACATTGTTTACCGTTTGTAGATTGTTTATAATGACGTAATGTTTTTTCCCTGTTCCTTTGAGTTATATACACAGTGTAGCATGGAGAGAGTATAGAAAATGCGTTTGTAGAACAAACAGAAGAATCGGCTGCTATTCTAAATTATCACGTCAAACAATTCAGGTGACACTGACTGCATACTGTCTCCAATTCTAATACTTTTAATAATTTATCTCATCCAAGCCCATAACCTTTCGATTAGAATTTCAACTTTGCTCCAGTTTACCATCGATTTTGCTCATCAATATCCAATATGTATAGATAAATATTTGAAGAATTTTTTTCCTGATAATAAAAAATTTGAGTTTTATTTTCACATTCAAATCATTTAGCACACACGATCTTCAAGGTGCTCAAGCGAAAAACGTACCAAACAAGAGTTTGGATTTGTCCGTTCAACGTAAACATTGGCGGTTTTTACTCTGATACCGGGAAATTATCGATCAAATAACGAATCTATTAGAAATGAGGTATTCTTAATTTCCAATTTCCGCATAAATTGAAATGCAAAAAAGAAACAAGAACGGACATTTTTTTGTTAATTTATATTTTATTGGGTGAATTTCATGTATATTAACTAGATATGGATTACCAATCCTATAATTTGTTTAGTGAAACCGTTCACCTGGACATTTTATAGAGAAACAAATTCATTTTTGATGTTTAAAAATTGTTTTCTTCAACCTCAATATAGTCCTTCTAAATGATAGTGCAAAAATATCTTAAAACACGTAGAAAATACATTTTGAAACCATCGGATCTTCAATGACTTGAATGTAAAAATTCAAACACATACAACAAGTCTTTTCCCCTTCAATTGTTATTCGAAAAATTAAAGTTCACAATCAAAATTTTGGTCAAAACATGATAACGGAAACGAAAAAAATTAAAAATTGTTTCCAATTTTACGATTCGTTTCGTTTTGTGGAAAATCCAACATAGTAATTAAAAACAAAAAGAAAACATATTGACTTCAGCACATATGTTGGAATTTTTTGAAAGTAAAAAAAATAATCTTCCAGATATTAATTTTTAAAAGTGTAAAAAATATCAACTTAAACAGTAATTTTCTATTTCCTTCGGTAAAATCAAAGAGATTGATCGTTCTCTGTTCAAACTATTATTTCTTTGTACAAAGTCTTGTAAAATTATTTGAATAAATTTGAATGTTGACATAATTCTAAATCTATTATTTAATGAAATATCCCTTGTAATATAAGACAAATCTATTGACTAGATCGAGAGGAGAGTATGTGAAAAAATTCGAATATATTTTGAAAGAGGATAGTATGTTTTCTGATGATTCTGTTGGCGTTAAAGTAGAGTATGTTGTAGTACCGTCTAGCCTCTGCGGTCTTCACGGTTTTCGCGCAACTGATAGGAGATAACAACTTGGTGTCTTCGGCAAATTTGTAGTACTCGAGGTCTTCTATAACATCTATCTCTAATCTCTTATCAGTAGCGCGCAAAACGCGCACATAAAAAAGCAAATTTTATATGGAACTTTTTTTTTCTTATCATTTTTCGCGCTTTTCGCGGAGCTGATAAGAGATAAGAGATAACTGACTTCAGCAATGTTATAGAAGACCTCGAAGAAGTGCTACAACTTTGCCGAAGACACCAAGTTGTTATCTCTTATCAGTTCCGCGGAAACTGTGGAAAACCGTTCCGCGGAAACATACTCGCCTTTAACCATTTTTGAGTCGAAAGAAACTTACTCTTCTCTTTCATAACAAAGTCAGATGAACTTACTCTCCTCTCGATCTAGTCAATAGAAATACCGTTAAACGCAAATTCGATAACAATTTAACGATAAATATTCAACTCCACTTTTAGAACAAAAACGTTGAATTTATAAATATGCATATTGGTAAAATACGGGAAAAACATTTCTTCGGTGATTTCATATTGAAGCTGAACAATTATTTAATGTCTTTGGGAAGCAGCAAATTAGCCGAAAAATTCAAGTTTGGTTGCATGTGTTTCTTTCACAAATTGTATGTGATTTTGAATAATTCGTATCGACCTTTATCGGTGTGTATATTAGTTCCATTTACTTAGCTTCTTACACAAAAGGGCATGAATGTAAATTTTAAATTCAACATTGGAACAAATTAGAAAAGTAGATGAATCAATAGAAATGTTTGGTGAAAATGTCAAAGTTTATGATTACAATTTTAATTTTTCTACATTGCCATTGTTAAAAATGATGTCCCACAAGTGAGATCGTACAAGAAATAACGTGCAAATACTACAGTGCTAACAAGGCATAGTTCATCGAATGAGAAGTTGTACAGGAAATTGTGTGCCTTGAAAATTAAAATCGGAAGTTGATAAAAATAGGATTTTCTTCTTCGAAAATTGAAAGATATTGCTACTTCATTTTTTTTTTTGGAAAAGTACAGATAAATCTCGTGTATCATCTCCACTTGTATTGTTTTTTACATTGAAGGGCGTTGCACGCACCTTAACATTCACAATACAAACTCAATGCGAGTGGAGACGCCTGATGAAAAATGGCACAGATTGCTAGTGCTAAGGTTTATCTGTACTTTAAAAATTATTTGGATAAAGAGCTAAGCAAATGGATTCAGAAAAATGAATCAATAATGAATTCGATTGTTCACACACGAATTCATCAAATTGATAAAGTGTTTCCTTTTAATTGCTTGCATTCATTCGACGTGCACGCTTTTCCATGACCCAAAAATATATCGATGGGCATAATAATCGCAACCATTGAACTGCAATTGGCAGAAGCGGTGCCAATGTGACATCTTTCTCTTCGCTGAGTATGGCACGTCGAATATCATCGGCTATTCGTTCCGGACTGGCCCCAGTCGCTGTATTTTCGTCTGTCACTGAATGGTTACACCAAAGTTAATATTAAATTAAAATGGATCAAAATTGTTCTGTTATCAAAAAAAAAAAAATTATAAAAACATCCAAATCGGTTTTCGTCTTCAATTCTGAAATTAGAGTTTCGTTCAAAATATTTTAAAATTCATCCAAAATTGTAATAATAAAAAAGGCACTAACTTTGTTTTTTTTTTTCTCCCTTGGGCTACAAAACGTTATTACCAATACGATACATTATGATCATTGGATGGCAGCAAGATCGAAAACAACTTGAATGACAACTGTAGCGACGCGAGCGCCCTCAATTTCAATAGGAAAATCAATGTAATTTCGGAATTTTTTTCCGAACTAAACAGCGCGACAATTTGAATTTTCTTGATGCTGCCACCCAATGATTATGATATAGTCTGTAGTGTATTCCTTAGCATTGAATTTAATACGACTCATTTAGGTCTAGTTTGTTATTGCATAAACTATAACTGAGGCGTTACATGCAATGTACTACATTACAATGAATGGATGGTTTAGATAGATGGCATACACAGTACAATAAAGTTCAGTTCATCAAAAATAAGCTAAACTTCTGTATTAAATTCAATGCTACCACACTAACCAATACACTACAGACTAAATCATAATGTATGGAAATAAAAAAAAAATTTAAATATCGTATTGGTAATAACGTTTTGAAGCCCGAGGGAGAAAAAAACGAAGTTAGTACCTTTTTTATGGAAATTTTTGGACGATATTCTAATTTCAGAATTGGGGACGAAAACGGATTTTGGACGTTTTTTTCTTTCTTTTTTTTGGACGATTTCTGAAGCAACCAATTAAAATTGAATGCAATTATTTTGTAAGAATTGTTCATACCGCCATATGCACGACCCGATGCAGTCAATGCATTTAATGAAAGTGCTGTATTTATATATCCTGGGCTAACGCACAACACGGATATATTATGTTCGGCTACTTCTGCTCTAAGTGAATCACAAAACGCTTGCAATGCATGTTTCGAAGCCGAATATGCCGAACGATGTGGCAACGAAAATTTCCCTTGAATACTGCTAACACATACAATTCGACCCTCTTTACGTGTTATCATTTTTGGTAGTACAGCTACAGAGCGTCAACGGAACAGAACAGAAATCATAGCAAATTAACAAGAAGCTATTTTTAGTGAGCGAAAAAAAAAACAATCTCATTCAATTTAATAATAATAATAAAGAAATAAACCTTTGGTCACAGCTACAGCACCAAAGTAATTTACAAGCATTACTTGCACGTCGAGATCAACAGCCATAGACACAACGTCCGCACGTACACTAATTCCAGCATTGTTGATTAAAATATCAATGTGTCCAAATGTTTCTTCGATTTGTGCAATTTTTTCAGGCAACGTACTTAAATCTGATACATCCATTGGAATGACAACGGGCGGGTGTGTCACTATACGCTGCATGAACGAAGAAGAAATGTATGAGCCTGTATGGAATTATCAGGAAATTCACACACAATTTTCAATTACCGAATGCATTTCCAACAGATCGGTGCGCACACGTTCCAGCTCTTCTTTTCGTCGGGCAGCCAAAACAACCTTGCAACCAGCCATATAAAATGTGTGCGATAATGCCTCACCTTTATAAAAATGAATTTTGAATTTTAAAGTTATAAGTGTTAATGAAAATATATATAACTAAAGAACTAACCCAAGCCGCTGCTAGCACCAGTTATAAGCACAACCTGTACAAATATTTGAAAACCGTTTGATTTTACTTAATCATTAAGACTGTGAGATAATATAAATTGACATACTTTGCCCTCTAGAATATCCTTATTTTTTCGGAGTCTCAATTGAGACATCACTTTGTGCACAATAAATGGAATGCTCAATGGCATACATATGGAACCGATAATCCACCAAAATGTATTCCAGCTTGTGTTTGTCACTTGTTTCATCTTTGCAATTATCACTCGGCGTTGGCTGAATTTTGTCTTCAAATTTTTCTATTATGACACTAGATACGAAAGTACCCAGTTCAATATGCAGTAGAAATTTTGTTTCGATGTCAGATTTCTTGTTGTTGTTCTATAAACTCTTCTGTCAAACTTCATCAGCATTCATCTCTTTCTTACCCTGTTCAACTCTTTGTCTCTTTTCATCTCAGTTTCTCCGTCTCTCCAAACTTTATGCAATGGAGTGAATGCGCGGTGAGTGAATCAGCTGTTATACTCTAAGTGTTCGCACAAACACATACAAATGTCATACTACAACAACGACGACGACTGGAACCGCTCTGAAGTTGGTGTTGCAATACGTGTGTGAGAGAGCAAATATAAACTCGTGAGAGTAGCTTGCTCTTGAGGCTTTGTATGGCGTGTAAACAAACGAGGCCCAAGTCAAGCCTATCAGCTGTTTTCGATATGAATATAGTCCAAACGATCGCTATTATAAGTTATGATTTTTAGTGGGCCAACTTTGATGGATCCGAAATTTAAATCTTAATTACACATAATTATATTTTTCACAAATCTCGACTAAATCAAATCAAGTGATTTTAGTCTAGTATGTGACATACAGAAGAAATTTTCGAAATTGTTGATGTACATATAGACTATACAGGTGATGTAAAGCATAATGTACGAATGAAGTTTGAATCCAAGCGTACGACTGTGATGATTTTGCTGTTTTTGTTGTTGTTGTTGTGGTTGCTACTGCTCTCTATATTACACATATAACGAACACAAATATGCGTGTGCTCGAGTTAAGAAACAGTATGTTTCTATAATGATGAGTTTTAGTAAACAAAAGAGCTTTAGTGAATTCAAACACTTTATTGGTTCTAATGATAAACTAAGACTGGTGTTCAATCGTTTACAATCATATTTATAGGTCAAGTTTAAATTATATCAATATTGAATTGAAATATTGAAATATTAACCCAAGAGAAACGGCCAATATGTTTATACGCTGTCTATCCGCCGAAAATACACTACAATATATATTCACGCTTATTGAACGCCGAATTCAATATATATTCTAGTGTATTTTCGGCGTATTCTTCAGCGTGAAACATATTGAATCAACGAATGCATTCATAGCCACCAGAGGGCGCCTGAATATGTTTCATATGACCACCTTGCCATAGTACGAATTTTCGGCCAAAAATTCGCCGATGGCCAAAACTTTGGCATAGAGGCCGAATTCAGAAAAGTACTTCCTACATTTTCGATAGGTCTTGGCCCCAGCAATACGTGGTTAAAATATCGGCACGCAATTCTGTTACACCCTGTATAATATCGATAACGATATTAACTCCCGCGACTCATGTGCATTGGCGTTGAAATTCATGTTGTGTATCTTCTCTATTTCACGGCGATTTATTTTCGCGATTACATTCTATGTGTGATGACTTGGACTCGAAATCACTCTCCTCCGTTCATGAACATTTCATTTCAGACCAATCATTCGCTCACAGGCTCGCAATCAGTGTGAACGAAATTACGATTTGGTTCTATTTTAAGTTTAACAAATCGTTTAACCGTTTATTCTTTCGTCTTTTCTCTCGGCAATTCGTTAAATCATTTAATATTTTCCCACAGACAATGTAATCAATCTTCGACAAATTGGTGCCAGTTTTATCAGCTTATCAGTAGTTTGGAAAAGTATTTTCAAATTGATTCGAGTGATTCTTGAACAATTGTATACAAAAAGTTGTGTTCAGTGATCTCAGTCTAAATTTAATCACCAATGGATTACACACATTTTTATTGGGCGGATGCCTGACAAGTGCATCAAAGAAGTGATTATATCTATTTTTAGGATATCTGCAAAGCCACCGTTGGATTGGATTCGTGTGAGTATATGTTCATAACAATCGATAAAATCTGACTAGGATACACGCACACAAAATCATTGTCGTGTACGAAATTACTACAAATTCGTGATCGGATAATAACATTTGTTGCATTGTCTCTGCACTTTTAAAACAATAACAATTCAGGATTTTTGTTCATTTTGTCTAATCATTGAATAAATCAATTTTAATTTCTACAGGAAATCCTAATACACATTAATCGACATTAATTTTTCATGTGCGAGACAACAATAGTTTTGTGAACGTGTTTAAATATTTTTAAAGAAGAACATAAATTTATTGGAAAAACGCAGGAAGAATCTAAATTTCATTTTTTTTCGGTAATACTTACATAATAAAAATTGAATAATTTTTCCCCCATTTGAAATATTGTGTAGAAATATTAGGCAATCCGTCATTTTAACTCTGTTTGCAAAGTCAAACAACAATAATAATGAAAAAATAGGAATAATTTCCATAGAGTTTTCACTTTTTTGTTCAAAATGATGTGGAGTTTATTGACCATAAAAATTTGTTCAAGATCTTAAACATAATTTAGATGGATTTGCAGAAGATAAATAATCAGAACTGAAATATCGTTTTTGTTTCCTTGGGTCTTTCGTTGGTTGTTTTTTTTTTTTCCTACAAGAATATTAAATGATTTTTTTTTCTTTTAAACTGGTACGAAAGAAAATACATGAGATAAACAGAAACAACAGCTATACAAAAGCAAAAACAACCGAAGCCAAGAACGCATAACCGATACATATATAAACGTCTGAAGACCGTCAATATCAGCAGCAGCAGTATCAACAACAAACAAATCGGTTGGTGTTGGCGAAGCAACCACGATGCATCAAAATGATGAAATATTGCCGACGACAACGACGACAGAGGTAAGTGAACCTAGAGTAATAAGTAATAAGAATTGTGAAAAAAAAAACTCACTGATGAGCGCGCTTAACAACAAACCGACGGACGCGACATGGTTTAGAGGGATGCATTCACCGTGTGCTTTGTCTCGTCTAGCGCTGATTCAAAGATTGAACTTCTCCAACTTAACATCCATTAAATTCGTATTCTTTATGGGTTGCTGTTTTTTTCCTCTCTGGCGTAAAGTGTGCAAAGAAGTGAACGAACTCGAGTGTGGCTGAGTGTGTGAGGGAGTGTGTCTGTTGGTTCATTTTTGAAAAAAAAATGTCCATATTTGTCTGTCTGTCTGTCGGTCGTTTCTATATCTATATACACCAATTTAGCAGTGCAGAGAGTTCAAATGAAATCCAACATTGTGAAAATCTTGACATCTTATGTGTTACAATTTCATAATAATGAAAAGGGAAAATCGGCAGACACATAACAAGCGTATATATTTTGCTATTTTGGCATGCGTCCAGTGTACCAGCCATTATGTATACTTTTTTTTTTCTTCCAACGTCGTATTGTTGTTATGGCTGAATTTTTGGCCTAAATTCAAAATGCGTCGTATCATTCGTCTACAGCCCTTTTTTCATTGTGCACGAAATTATGTGCACGATTCAATGGCTTGTGTTCCAGTAGCAAGCACATGAGCATTATAGGTTTGTGTAACAAATGAATGTTTGATTACGAACTTCAATCGAACGGCCAACACACTGTACTTGGGCAAACAAATACTTATCTAACGCACCTCCAAGATAGTTATCAAGCATTTTTTTTTCATTTGGTTCGAATATAACACAATTTCCCTTCGATTCTATTATTTTTGTTAAATAAGAAGGTAAATTTCGAATTGAGTTGTGCAATGATCGAATTTTCATTCCAGTACAGTTTCTTTGTCATTTTCAAGCCAAATCATAAATTAAATTAGAAACGAATGATAAGAGAGAAAGAATGCTGCTGTTTCTAAAAAATTAACCAAGTAAAGAAACAAGTTCACTCGATGCAACAAACGAAACGTAATTCCAATTGCAGTAAGCTAGTTTATAAGCCGTAATATTTAAATGAGATGTACTGTGAGGTCAATGTCACAAATACTTCGTTAAACACAAATATACACATATGAGAGAAAGAGAAAGAGAAAGAGAAAGAGAGAGAGAGAAAGAGAAAGAGAGAGAGAGAGAGAGAGAGAGAGCAACAAAGTTTTTTGCTTGACATCTTGTCACATATATTATTTTGATTAATTCACTAAAAAAAATCCACTGTAATATTATTCATTTTATGTTTCGTATTAAATGTTAATGAAAAAAACTACGTCAGAAATGCATCTTGTTGCCGGATAATTTCCATGGTATTGTCTTTTGGGATTGTCTCTTTATTTTGATTATTTTGTTCATGGCCATTAAATTGAAGGCATTGATCCGTCCTTCGACTAAGAAAATACAACAAAAGTCGAAGCAATACACTTAAATAGTCGCACCTTTGTTCAAATATTAAAGGGCATTACTAAACGCACTTTATATACATCGTTTGTTTACATAGTGTAATTCTTTGAATCTTGCTCTCGCTGCAAACCTCGCTGCACTAAAGTGCATTGCTCACTATTTATAGATGCTATGGAACAGCCAATGTTTCACTATAATGTCGTAAATATGGTCATAAGCAAAGAAACGCGCAACTGGTATCCAAGTGATTTAAGTGCACTTGAACTTTATTTGTCCATATTTGGACATCTCAATGATCATCAACAATGCATCTGCTTCTTATTTCTTGTGAGCAACCAATTCATTCAAAGATGTAGCGACACAGCGACAGTGTTTTATGAAAAAAAAAAAAACTTCCAACATGAGTAAGGTATTGGTCAAAAATTACAAAATCTACAGCATAATATGTTCAGAAATTTCATTTTATTTTAACCACCAACGAAATTTATTTTTTATTTCTGATTCAGTTGCAAAGAACTAATCAGAACTTTGCTTGTTGAACTTTTATTATCAATATATCTCATTGGATTGCATCAATATAACTTATATACCTACATGATTCAAAGCCGATCAGTAGAAAAAAAAAGTTTAAAAAGTAAAACAAAAAAAAAACTTCCGCATACTTCTTTGTATTTTTATTATTCAAAACACGATTTGTTTCCTATTTTGGTAGTGATCACGCACGAGTTGAACAAATAGAAAATGGTACAAACACAAAAAGGTCTTTATTTAAAATAGAAGCATTGATAATAAATTAAAAATGAGTTAGGTATTGGTCACCATTTGTATTTGTCGTCTTTGTTTTATCGTATGAAATATAAAAAGAACAAAAAAAAATTCAACGCAGCAATGATATTCGTGTACAACACGTCTTAATGGTGACAGAGAATTGAATCTATTTTGTTTACATTATTCAATGGGAATCGCCATAGGTTTTACATTTAATTCTCAATCGAGTAGTAGCAGCCAGGTACGGAATTCATTTGTTCGTCGATAAATTGCACTCTTTGATCAACAAATCAATTTCCTGTTTGCGAAAAACACTTTCTGCTCGAAGAAGCTCAGTCTCATCTCGTAATTTCTGTTAGAAAGTGAAAATGAAGCAATAGTTTGCAAAAAGGCCTCCAACAAATCGTTTCCCTTAAAATAACAATTATAATATGAATTGTTTGAAAAAAATGAACACACTCACCGATTTAACCATATCACATAGCGCTCTCTTCAAGTAAATTTCACGTGTGTCAACCTCATTTTGTGCATCATTTTGCTTCATCATTTTCTTCATCATGGATTCTCGGTCATTTAATTGTCGCTCGGATAGTATCAAGTGTTGTCGTTGATTTTCGATACGTTTCAGTTGATTTATCAAGGAAAGTTCATAAGTTAGTTGCACCTTTTGCATGCGTTGTTGATGTTCTTGGCATTGAACATCATTTACGATTTGTTGCATGAGCTCCATTTCATATTTCTCCAATTCAATATATTTGCGATTGATAACTTGCATTTGGTTGTGTAGTTGTTTCTTTTGTTCCATTCGTTTATTGAATTCGATCCGTGGATAGTTTAATATTTTGCAATATTGTTTCTCAACACCAAGACACGCAAATGGTTGTATATATTGATTTGGATGTAAATCGATTGGACAATTAGACATTTGTTCATAAGCCGTTCGTAGCCAGTAATGTATATTGATTGCACATGGTTCATCGAAATAAGCATGAATTTCTTTTGCATTGGCAAGTCGTTCAATAGCCGATCGTTGTATACAGTTAAACGCGACCACAATGAAAACAAGGAAATACGCTGGAGCTGATAAGATATGATCCCAGAGCTGACACCTAAAAAAATAATTTAATAAAAATTATATACAATTAAACTTTTAAAATAAATATTTATAAATATAATACCATTGATATTCGACCAGAACATCACTGAAAGCAGTGCGCATCATTTTCCATGCAAATGTTACACTTGTTACCGAAGAACGCCGATAAAATTGCATGAGCTTAGGCTCGAAATGATCAATCAAGTTTTCGATAAGTCCCAAATAGTTCATTGGTAACAATGGACTGAACTCAAACCATAAGCTACATTGATTCAATAGAATGGTTGCAACCAATTCAAAGCACACCATCAAATTGTTTGAATAGAGTTTTAGAAATGGAAAAATGAAATACGGCAGAAAATGATCTTCCAAATCAAATGAAACACCGAGTATTTTACTCCAGTTGCATAAATAGGAAGCGATGCATTTGAGTTTCTTCTGTAGAACCGGATCGAATACACGAAATGATTGTCCATATGATCGAGTACATGGGTGAAGACCTCTTTCCAATAAATCGCAGTAGGCTTCAGTGTTGTTGGGTAATTTTAACAAATACTTCCAGATAATTTGACGATATTGCGCTGGATATTCACCATATTCACTCAGAATTGTTAGTAAACGTTGGCGTGACAACAGCTTGGCTACCTGAATACAGAAATATTTAATTATTATTATTATTATTTTACTCTTTTAACAGCCTTTTGTCGAACAATGAAGGAGAAATTTATTGCTATTGTCATATCGGTGAAAATTACCTTTTTATCAAGGGCATTTAAGCTTTGATTCAGTTGCATGTTTTCATGATTGATTGCGGTGATTTTCGGCTGTACTGTTTGGAAAATTTGAAGTAGCATGAATTCGATGGAATATAATTTAAATGACCCATCTACAGAAATTAATGCCAACAATTTACTGTTCGGTGAAAGTGAGAAACGTTTTACAGCGGCACATTTCCATGGAAGGAATGGTTTGAAATCGATGGAATCGTTTGTGTTACTTTCGCTCAAAAACACTAATTTTTTAGTACTTGTTAAGCCAATGCAGAGACTATGGAACGACGACGACAACGATTTGTGTATCACTTCTTGTGCCAGCGCACACGATACAAATGATGACATTTTTACATGATATTTTTCGGGCGATACGGCTTTTATAACATGCCATTGTTGTGCATCGATTACGATTATGTAAGAATTTTTGCTCATAAGCCATAACTCGTTGCCATTCTCATGGAATTTCATATCCAAGAAGATAATATCCATTGCAGCATTCTTTTTATCCATGATTTTATCTACGAAAAGTCCAAATAATATATAAGTGACCTCAATAGTCATGATACGTTCGCTCACTTTATACATTTTAATCTAATGATTTCTTTCTTTTCTGAATTGATAAAAGTTGATAAATTTCCAATTTAACTCACTGTTATTTAGGTCGGAATGTTTGAAATATACATCTAATCGATCAATCGGATGAATGTGCTTGATTAGATTGATTGAATCAATTTTATCCAAACCAACACCATAAATATACAACGATTCGTCATTCAGAAGCACCGCCACTGTCAATTTCATATCAGCTGTTACATGAGTGACGATTTTTTTGATCACCAATTTAGTTAAAATCGATTTTATTGCGATTGCTTTGAAAAACCGATGCTCAATTCTCAATGTTGCATCTGTGCTGTGGCTGCAAATCAATGCTTCCGTTGAAGTGTAACAAATGAAATATTCAACAGAGTCATGAATTCCGATTATTTCCAAAATACTATTGTCAAACGCCTTGATTCTTTGATGAATTTTACTTGTGGCTTTTAGTTCAACAACCAAAAGCGATCCATATTTTGTGCCAACCAAAATACAAGCATAATTGCGTGGATGAAAGCAAAAACATGACAGATTTTGACAGACTTCATCAAAACACCAGTATTTTTCGTCAGTTAAATCAAATACGAATAGATCCTTGCGGCTGCTAATTGCAATTAAAATGTCTGAGTTTTTGCTGAATCCCGCCAATTTGAATGGAACCCGTTTATCACGGCCATCGTCCAATTCGGTGTGGTGAACTGACAATAAAAGTCTGTGTGCAATTGTGAAATTAAATTCTTTGTGATAAATGAGAAATTTGTTTGCCACTTTAAGTGGCCTACAAAACGGAAATATGAATCGTTTGCCTACCCATGTTCTTCACTTTCATTATGTTTTATTTTGAATGGCAACTTTTCGATGCGATCAAAATTTTTATCGTTTTCCATTTCTACAAATCACATTCGTCAATACTAAATAACCGAGCGTAACGTTCTCATGCACCGTCTCGAACTGTTGGTTGCTGTTGTTGTTTCTTTTCTCCACTCTTTTTGAAATATCGTATTGTCGCAACGCGGCATTGGTACCGGATCGGTTGCTAAGCAATGCGCATTTATGCAGTGTATGTATTAGCAGGCAACAATATCCACAACATTTACCAACTGACAGTTGAACCAATAAACAGAGTTCACACACATAAACACACTTTTCGAACGCATGCATGCAAACACAAACATTTGTGCAAAGCAACGAACATAGGAAGAGAGAGAGAGAGAGAGAGAGAGAGAGAGAGAGAGAGAAAGAACAAAGACATTTCTTGATGCTCCCATTGTATACACATTAGTGGTCAACATATATAAAATGTCAAATGAGACAATAAATCGAATAACAAATTCAGCCGACTGAATATTTTTTTTCTATCGAATTGAAAGACTGTGACTCGAATACTAATGAGGATATAGTTTGTTTGTGTTTTTTTCGGTTTGTTATTTCACTGGAATTGAACGGCAAAATTTGATATAAACATATCCAGCAGAATTTTGCAGCGATTCACACAGTGTGACAATGGTAAAAAAACCGAATTTTAAGAAATAGAAACCCATGATTTTTCAGTTTAGTGTAAACATTATTTTTGTTTCTCATTCATTAATATGATGCTCTCTTTTTTTTTCTTCTTTTTTTTCAGTCGCTAAACGATGTATTCCGGTGTTTTATCTGCATGGAAAAATTGCAAGAAGCGCATCTGTGCCCGCATTGTTCGAAACTTTGCTGTTATCTATGCATATCAAGATGGTTAAATGAGCAGCGTCGGCAATGTCCACACTGTCGGGCTCCATTAAATGTTCAAGAGCTGGTAAATTGCCGTTGGCTGGAAGAAGTTGCTCTTCAAGTGGAATCTTTACAGGTGCGATTTAATTTAAAGATGCTTTTGGTTGAGTGATTATTTATTTGAAAGAATGAATCATATGAAAAAAAAAAAAAATTCTTCACACACAGCAAATATGTGCAAATGTCAAAGCAAATGGGTTAGCGCAAAGTGAAAACGATCAGTGTAATACGCATAGCGAAAAATTATCCGTTTATTGTGGGACCTGTAAATGCTGTATTTGCCATCAATGTGCTCTCTGGGGTGGCACACACTCTGGCCATACATTCAAACAACTAGGTAAAGCCGATGGAATAAATTTTTTTTTATATTTCTATTTTTCTTTTACTGATCAATTATTTTCTCTCAATATCGCTCCAATTTAGACCTCGTCTATGAAACGCATATCGCTCAAGTAAAAGAAGAAGTTTCGCAGCTGCGTAGCCGTTTGATGGAATTAATAAGTTTGGTAAAAGATGTTGAGCAAAATGTTGAAACAGTACGATCGGCGAAAGACGAGAAAGTTCGGGAAATTCGAAATGCCGTTGAACACATGGTTAATCGATTGGATTCGCATCTTAAATTAAAATTGGTAACGTTGGTGCGACAAAAGACATCGTTAAATCACGAGACCGAGCAACTCGAACAGTTATTGGATGAAATTGAACATCAAATGAACTCTTGCTCACGCAGTCAACTCATTACGAAATCTCCGGAATTGTTGAAAATGATTCATCAGGTTCGGCTTAAGCCAATGACATGCTACGTAATGGCGCCCGTGCCAGTTGATTTTGTAAGCGAGATAGTCCCGTCATATGAAACTGGCACATTTCTTATGGAAAAATTTACGTCATTGCAAAGGAAGGGTTTGCCGATATATTCGAATGAATTGAATGTGAATGGTTTGCAATGGCGTTTAAAGGTCTATCCATATGGGAATGGCGCTGTGCGTGGTGAATATTTAAGTGTTTTTCTTGAATTAACCCATGGCTATCCGGAGACGAGCAAATATGAATATCGCGTACAAATGATTCATCAAACATCTTCAAAGGTCATTCAACGCGAATTTGTCTCCGATTTTGAGGTTGGAGAATCTTGGGGCTATAATCGTAAGGAACTTGAAAATTCACATTTCTCTTTTTTTCACTTTGGCATCCAATATTTCTATTTCAATTTTCTGTTGATGCAATTCATTAGGATTCTTCCGCTTGGCCCTACTTGCCAGCGAAGGCTATTTGAATGTGCAACGTGATTCGCTTGAGCTTCGTTTTCAAGTACGGCCATCAACATTCTTTCAACGATGTCGTGACCAACAGTGGTACATAAATCAGTTGCTGAAAAAGCAATGGCACCACGAAACGGAAATCAAACAGCTGAAGGATCGCTTGAGACGTGAATCATTGAAAAATAAACATTATACAAGCAATGCGGCCGCAAATACCAGCATTACTGAAATAAGCTCGGCCGCCAATTCAACTTCATCCGCAATTTCAGTTAATGAAAATTTGATTTCGGTGAATTTGGCCGGCACATCAGCGTCATATTCATCGTCATCCGCATCTGAAATGACCGATGTACCATCATGTTCGGGTGCCAAATCAAAGCACAACGCCAAAAGATCGGTTATTTCAAATGGAAAATCAAGCACAAACTCTTCAAAAGAGAAATCATCGTCGAAATATGAACATTTTTACAATGAATGCGATCAACCAGATTATATTAACACAAATCAGTTGGTAGATAAACGAAAGGAAATCATTCCAAGCGATGGTAGGCACATTCATTTTCAAGAATTTGTTTGAAATTGCAATGTTTTGTTTGATTATTTTCAGATTTATTTTCTGATCTCCTACAAAATATCTATGCAAACAATGTTAAAGTCGATTCCACAGATGCTACAAACAGTCAAAATGCACTGCCAAAAGTCACTGCTCTCACTATTATAAGTAAAATTATTTTGAATTGATGACAATTTTGAAAATTTCAATGATGAATCATAAATGAATGTATTTTTTTTTTTAGAAAATACACCGCCTCGTGTATCATCGCTTGGCCAGTCGATTTCGTCACCGAATTTACGCTCAGCAGATAACATAACATTGAGTTCAGATTCGGTAAAAGGCGACAAATACACCCATTTTGTGGTTTTGTATTTAGTTTTTATAAATGTTATCTGGTTTGTTTGTTTGTTTGTTTGTCTTATTTTTCAAATAGGATGAAGATTTGCATGGAACACGTGATAAAGCGCGTCGTGCACTGAGCAAAGTGAATGACAGTTCCGAAGAAGACAATGAATTAGAAGAGGAGACAATATCTGGCGAGAATGATGTCGAGTATGCGGAATTTTCATTGAGTGTACGAACATCGCCAAAGGAACATATTCAAGACAATTACATTGATAGCGTTAGTTCGAATGGAATTGAATCAGTTACAACGAACATGAATGGTCTTGATGACGATTTCATGACCTTACCGATCTCAACCTTACCGTCAAGTATTTCGAGTGAGTAAACAAGGCATCGATTGACAGATAGTTCACATAATTCATGCTTATAACATATATAAAACATCCCAATTTACAGACAATCGAAGCCGCTATCGGACGCCAATCACATCGGCAAGCGTATTTGATACTCTGCTTGAAGGGCCACGAATGAGTTTTGCCATTCTTGGTAGTGGTAGTGGTGATTCGAAACGTGACAGTTCCACATCCGAATCAAGTTCGACGGAATCACTTCGAAATGGTTTGTATTTCATGCGAAATGCACAGCCTGATAATGACAGCGAATGAATAGAAAAAAAATTTGTTTTTTCATACAGTTGCGAGTAGCTCGACCGATCAAAGTAATCCGATGGACAGTGTGGCGGCCGCATTACAAACCAATTCCACAAACCAAGTTGACAATGAACCGATCACTTGGAACTATAATCCGCATGCAATCACGCGGTCCAATAGCAAAACCAAACCAAATTGCAAAGATGACGATGTTTCATACAATTGCTATAGCCAAACATTAAATAAGCTAATGGGTGAGTTCAATGTGAACAAACGAAAACGCAACAATAATCGAAATGGTGATGACACAAATGCAGCCGCCAAGCTAATCGATAATTTACATGGTGCAGAAAAGAAATCACTAATGAAGAATAGAATGCCATGGTCAAAAGATGGTGACCGTCGTGACAGTGAAGACTCCCATTTCTGGTCAAAGGTTCTGTCTACCACCAACAATAACCACAGTCAGCAAAATGACTTACTCGCATCCACATCGGCCATATCAACTGCAGGTGCGGCGAAGAAATCCGCTACAAACACTGCCGTCACTGTTAACAGTTTTAATATTTCAAGTCAACCAAACAATTTAGATATGAATGAGGTCGATGCAATTAATTGTAATTTGAATAATGATTTGAATAAGTTCACATTAGCATCGCAAACAGCATTGGCTACCACTTCATCAGGATCCGATTTGGCCAAGGCCACTATTAGTTTCAACTCAAAGAATTTGGTACAGAAACGCATGAATACACCTAATGACAACCTGAATTTTTACAATGAAAAACATTTTGATGACACTAGCGCCAATGAACTGAATCGAATGACAATCAACAATGATTTGAGTACAGCCAATAATTCATTTTTGCAAGCCCTTAGTGACTTGCGTCTCGATTACAGTGAATTGGGCGCGGCAACGAGCCGATCAGATCGCCTGGAACTTCCTGAATTATCACAATCAAAGAACAGGTACATTTTTGAATGACATGCGGTAAAATGATGAAATTTTGAAACGACTCTTTTTTTCCAGATCCAATGAACGACCTAATTCATCTTAATAAACCGACACGGTATTCAGTTGTGACAAGGAATTTAATTTGAGAATCGAGTAGAAAATATTTATTATATATGTCAATAGTTGTGATAGTGTGCTATAAAATTGAGTTGTTAATGCAAAATTGAAAGAAAGAATTGTAAAAGAGAACTAACAACTGTGAAATATGTAACGAAAAAGTCTACTTGAATAGATCCAATTAATAAATCAAAAACCTCAAACATATACTTTTCAACGTGGTATTTTTTTTTATTCAAGTTTTCGTCTTATTTCTTTGTAAAGGTAATTTTATTTTCAAATGTTTTGTTTGTTTGTTTTTTTTCTTTTAAATGAATAATGAATGGTTAATGAAATTAACATTTATATTATGATCATTGTAATCGTCGTGATGCTCCATGCATCCAGCCCGAAGATTATCATCTATTCGTCCTCTTCTTCGTTCTCGTCAAATTCATCCTGTGAAGAAAAAAATTGAAAAAAAAAACAACAAATAATCTCTGCCTTCAAATCACTATATATAATTAATTTTTTTTATGTAAATTAACACTTACATCGGAACCTTCCTCGTAGTTTTCACCACCTTCAGCCCCTTTCGGTGTGATATCCACCTGAAATGAATGGAAACAAATAACAATTATTCGATTTTACTCAAGCAGTGTTGTTCCAACAAATTTATTGGAACGAAATTTTTTATTCACCTTTGGGCGATCTTCAACCGCATAGCGTTCGAATTCTTGCACATCGACGACTTTGACCTTTCCTTCCTTTTTGTCACCGACTAACTGGACTTTGATTTCGAAAAAGTCGTTCTTCCGCTTTTCTTCCCAACAGGAGTATACGGATGATGCCTTGAAAATGATATCGCTATTTTCCGATTCATCTGTGATAACCATATACTTCTGCAACAGGCTGGCACCGTCTCGACGCCACATACACAATTTTTCGTCCGTTCTGAATTCCTTCGTTAGGTCGTTTTTGAAGAGGTACAGCTGCATGTTACCGTCTTTGTCGGGTTGATTTTTTCCAACCTTGAATCAAGCCAGAAGAAAAATCATCAGTTTTTTTTTTTTTTCAAACAAGAAAATGATTCACAACATATGCAAAACAGTCGAGTGAAAGCGACTAATACATACCGATGCTCGCGACTTCTTAGCAGAACCCGTCTTTTTGCCTTTTCCGCTACCTTCTTCGTCCGATTCTTCTTCTTCGGATTCATCTTCTTCGTCTTCTGCAAATGACAAAGAAGTACAAAAGTATCACATTCCAATTCGTCTTACCTATTGTTACAAATTCAGTTGAATACAAATTTAATGCAAATGTTACCCTCGTCCTCTTCATCTTCTGATTCTTCTTCAGATTCTTCCTTCTTGGATTTTTTGCCGCGACCTTTCGGCGAGGCTGCCGTTGACTTTCGCTTTCCCTTCGCAGCGGCCCCCTTTTTCTAATAAAAACGTATATTATTCAATCGAATCAAATTCAATTGAGCGCACTGGCGGCTTCATCAAAGATGGGACAAAATGTCTTAACTCACTTTTTCCGGCTTATAATCGTCATCATCATCAAAATCCTCTACGGATTCCTCTTCCTCGGAATCATGGTGACTGCTTGTCACAACGTCTGAATTACGGTTTTTGCGCATTATTGCTTTTCAAACGGATGTGTGAACAAATTTTTTTTTTAAATAATATAAATAATACAACTTTAAACCACTAGCAATGAAGCAATGAGAAAAACTTTTCTAAGAAATAATAATGTAAAAATAGACGCGTAATATTTGAGGTTATGTAGCCGGTTTCGTATTAATTAGACATTGATGATGCCATTTTCACATACAAAAAAAAAATCATCACAACCAACGATAACATTTTCTAATGTGCAACAAATCCAAAAAAAAAGGATTCGAAAATTTAAAGAAAAAATTAAAAATTGTATTTACTTACCAAATTATTTTTTCTTTTTCGGGTGAACAGAAAATGAGTCGTATACGAGCGTCACGTAAGATGACAATGGCTGATGCGATTTCTTTCCTTATTTAATAATTTGGACAAGTGTTTTCCAGTTGAAACCAAAATAGCGAATGAACAGGATTTGTTGTGTGTGCAAACAATAAAAGTTTAGACCGAACACAGACAGAATGTTCGATGCAAGTCAAGAAAGTGGCTTTTTCGTTTCGAGAGGGCGCTGAGCAGCAACGGTGGTGAGGCTACTCATAAGTAGTAAAACATTGTACTAGATCAATCGAGTACTAAAATTGGATTTAAAAATGGAAATGGAACATTTTTGAAGAAATTTATATCATTCTAATAATGATGATTATTATTTATTTACTAAACCATAACAATATTTGAATTACTATTACATAAACGTACAGAAACTAGGCTTATTCGCTTCTGATAATGTGTTTGTGATATTTTGCATAGCTTTTTCTTCTTGTTCTTTCAACTCTCGATTTTTTATATCTAGATAGGTGTTTTTGTTGCGCTCTTCCATGAATGCTGGCAATGGTTTTGCCCAATCATCGGGTGGACTTTCACGTTTTGTCCATATATCATTGTCAAAATGTGATTTCAACCGTTCGGCACGGCGTTGCATTTCGCTTTGAATCACCAATTTTACTGCCTCCTTATCATTGAACCAACTGTACTTTTGACAATTGTTGTAGTCGTCTCGCCATTGATCACAATTCAAACTCTCGCCAAAAATGAAATATTGATTGAATCGCCCGCGAATACTTTTGCACTCCTTATATTCGTCTTTGTACACACTGCAGGGTCGCAACTGTTCAAATAAATTCATAAACCAAACAAAATTAAAATTGATTTTACCGCATTAAACTTGGAGTATGCATACCCCAATTTACTAACCAGTTCATTGTATTTTGTGAATAAATCAGCCTTTTCGTCAGATGTTTGTCTGCCGCCAGTTGATTGATCGTCCGTCGAGTTTGTCGTAGTTTCAGCCATAATTTTTTTTTTTAAATCTAAAACACAGCTCAAATATTTTTTATCAATTGATTTTCATAATAAATCTCAAAAACATTGAATATCAAATCTTTAGCGATTGAAACTAATGATGACATAACCTAAATTGTGACACTTGACATGACAGAATTTTTATGAACGTGAGTGAATTTCGTACAGTTTGCACGATAAATTTATCGTCAAATTCCAATAGTTGAACCGATTCGATTATACCGAATTGAAATTTTTTTCTTCACAATTCACAACTTTTCCAAGGCATATTCAAAAACTAAATGTTAAACAATAACCGAAACGCTTTTCATTTATTCGAATCAAATTAGAAAGATTTTGAAAGTTGAAAAAAAAAATCAAATTAAATTCTACTACAGGGTTTATATTTGAAGTAAGGCCAACTTCATGCATATTTGTTGAAATTGTGGAAGGAATTTTTATTTGACATTTTAATGCACAAAAATAGTAGTACAAGTATTGCGTGGATAGTATTTCGATTGGTCGCCATTTTTTTCAACCTGAAAAGTGCGACGTCTTTTTAATTACACAAATATTCTTTTTATTTTTTCATTTACCTCTGTGTGATTTGGCAATTCTACAATCGTCCGAATATCGGGAAGCTGATTTGAATCGAAAGCTTTACCGATACCATTCGAAAAAAAGCGAACATTTGCAAACGCATCTTTCTCCTCTTTCACTCGTACAAAATCGTTCAATTTTCGTTTCATACGAGCCAATAACAAAGTGATAGATTCATTTTGTTTTTAGTCAGTGTGTTTAGTGAAAAATCATGGCCAATTAAAGATGAATTTTTACACTGAGAACGTTTTATTAACTCCATGTGGAGGAAACATCCACTTCCAAACCAACAACAACAATAACAATCAATTTAAGCGAATCAACTTCAGCCAATTGGCATCTAGTTCTAAGGCAGTCAATCATCCAAATGGAAAAGAAACCAAATTCACGTACGAACCAGGTACCTGCAAAGGTACTCAGCTCTGATTCGCGAAAATCAAACCAAGGTATTGTATAAAGTCGATGATTTAGGCACATTTAAAATGTGTTATAGTCTTTGGTTTTCAATGCATGTGCACATGTACAAATATTGGGAATTTATTTTTTTTTATTTCGATTGATTGACCGAACAGATGCAACTGGAAAACAGCAGACACGTTCACGTCGCCGCGAATTTTCCAGTAGTTTTTCACAAGCCCAAAAATCTGATCGTTCAACATATAACGGCAACTTTAATCAACACAGACAACAACAACAACAATATCAAATTTTCACGCCAAAGTCGCGTGGTAATGGTGACGCAAGATCACGGATTGGTGGCGGTGGCGGCAGCGGCAATAGTAACAGCCGCAGTGGCAACGATGTCTATCCAAGGACTGCATCGTCTTCGAGCACCGGATTAAGTCATTTTGAAGATGATTGCACTGAGGCAATCAATAATGACTTCGAATTTGAATTGAACTCTGTTTATTTGCCGGGCAGCAAAAAACAGAATTTAAATCATTTGCTTAATTTCAACTACGCACCACGTGATCGTACCGATCCGTCAACCTACCAGCGTTCGGGTAATAATGCCAAGTGTGCATACGTCAAACGAATCAAATACAATAAGGAACAATTTTTGCAAGCAAAGTAAGTTGTTGGACAGTTCGAAAGTAGATCAGAGCTTATTTTTGTGAATGGTTTTAAGGAAATCGATGCTTATTAGTTTCCGTTGATGTTTGTTTCAGTTGCCAGTTTGTCGTAAAGTCGAAGGGCGATTATACGCCTCATAGAATTTCGCCAGATCTTCTCGTAGAGTGGTCCAACATTGAACAAATCAATCTTTTCGGCAGCAGTGAGGAACCGCAGTGTCCGATTTGTTTATATCATCCAGTCGCTGCCAAAATGACACGGTGTGGTCATGTATACTGCTGGCCATGCATTTTACATTATTTGGCGTTATCCGATAAGAAGTCATGGAGAAAGTGCCCCATTTGTTATGAAGCCGTGCACATTGGAGATTTGCGGAGTGCCATTTCCAAGCCACATCGCAATTATAATTGCAGCGAAGAGGTTACATTTCATTTGATGTGCCGCAGCAAAAACTCACTTCAAGTGCACAAGGCTGATACAACTTCGAAACAAATGGCAACTGCACACTTTCCACGTCTCTCTGATCATCCCGATGAATTGAAGCATAGCAAACTCGTATTGGCCGTGCCGCAAGAAATTCTGTCAATCATTCAGCGTGAGCGTCGTGAACTTGAATGCCAATTAGTCTCGGATGGCTTTGATTGCCCGGACTCCATCTTTGTTCAACAAGCACTGACACTATTAGATGAGCGTGAAAAAGAGATTCGCACCCAACTTGGCAACGATCACACCAATGAATGCAATAACAGTCAGTTGGCCGAACCAATGGCTAATGGTTTGAATGAAGCTATCGATAAACTCATGCTCAATGCTGACGCAAAAGAGTTTATTCCATTTGATCATGCCGATGACAAACAAAGTTCACCATCATCTGATGATATGGGTGATTTTATAATCGATGCCGATGGCGACTTAACTTTGAACGATATCGCCATTGTGCCTGCGAATACGGTATCAAATGAAAACTGGTTCTATTTCTATCAGTCAAGTGATGGTCAACACTTGTATTTGCATTCGATCAATGTTCGCATGCTACAGGCGATGTTTGGATGCTTGGAACATGCCCCAAAATCGATAACAGGTCGCATTTTGCAGAAAGAATCGTGCTCAATGACCGAAGAATTACGCAAACGCTTGAAATACTTGCAACATTTGCCAGTCACATGCCAATTTGATGTGGTTGAGATTGAGCTTGATTGTCCGGCGATCATCTCAGAAGAAATTCGAGCAAAATTCAAGGATGAATTGACACAACGGCACAAAAATCGCCAGAGACGTGCACGCGAGGAGCGTAAACGTGAAAGGTACATTGATCGTGAGAATGAACGGCGCATCGGGAAAATTATCCATACAGCCGTTAACATTGATGTCACTTCAGTGCAACAATTTCCAACGGTAAATTTATTATATATCTCAATTAATTGGGACACATTTTTTCAACTTTTCTTCTATTGATGTTTCAAATATAGTGTGGCAGTTTTGTTGACACCATTTTCCCACCGCATAGTCCTCCGCAAACGTTAGTTAACGAAGCTGAAACTTTGGTCGGTCTAAATGCTACTACCAATAATCCGGGACCGTCATTTGCAAAGGTAAATCATCATAAATTTTCATTAAATCTCTTTCTTCTGCTGCTTTTATTCTATATCAAAATACAATGATAGATGACAGGAAAAGAAACTTTAAACTCATAAAAACGAACCATTTTCCAGATGTTAACATCTCCACTTGGTGCAGCAAACAAATCTGAAAATTGGCCAACATTAGGCCGACCAAAGGAGCCACAACAATTTGCACAAGCCAATTCAACCCAACTCCGATCGAACAACGGTTTTTCAAGTGATCGAGAGAAGCTTACCGGTGCTAGCATTGAACACTCCGACGAGGACAGTGTTGATTTTGCTATTGACGACCTTGAAACGACATATGCTCGGCCTGAATTCAATGAAAGTTTTGGTTTGGCCATTGCCGAAGCGCTCAACAAGGCGGCTCATTCGAAAAGCCCACGCAAACAACAACAACAGCAGCAGCAGCAGCAGCAGCAGCAACAGCAACAACAACAACAACAACAAATGGAGTCACCCTATGGCCGCTTCAATGGCGCTGGCAGAAAGAAGAAAAATACCAAAAAAACGATTCTATTTTCCACTGGAAATTTTGTTAAATGAAAACCTAATTTCATATGCTTTCATTATTCTGTTACAAAATTATTATCAACTATTTTGTTTCTAAATCAAAATTCAGCAATCAATGGATTTGTTAGAGAAAGGCCAATTTATGAAATAACTAACGTGAAGGCAAGCGCCACACTTTTTGTCGCCCAAAGTCAAATCAATTATGGAATTGATGACGATTTTAAAGCGGCAAAAAAGTATGATTGTGTTGATGAGTTTGTTTGGTTATGATTTTTAATACATTAGAAATTTGGTTTGAAAAACAGAAAAACTTAATAAGAACGAAAAAAAAAAAAATCCACAATTAATCTGATGAAATTTATGTTATATTATTTTGGAACAAATTTCGGAAATTTGCTGATTACAAATTTTCGCTCTAATAATTAACAACAACAAGAATGAATAGAAAATAAATGCATTCAAATATTTTTGTTTGACAATATGAATAACTGAAATTAGGTCAAAATTTGTAAAGAAAAAATGTTCAGATTATGCCCCTTAGAGAAAAAAATATGATGCGAATTTCAGATAACAGGCTTGATAATAAATTAATAGTGTTTTATTTCGGTATTTCTTTGTCAATTTTCATTAAACCAGTAACTTTCTTCATTGAAATTTCTGAACGTTAGTTGACGTTGAACATCATTCATAATCCAAATAAGACCATTCAACAAGATTTTGAATACAAAGGAGAGCATGAGAAAGTGCAATTCTGGGTTCGAATGAAATTCGACGTGACTGTTCCTGTTCATAATTTATGTAATAAATTTAAAATGAAAATGCTCATTTTTTCTTCAAATTATCACAAATATATTTGAATAAGTGGTCGGATCAAACAATTTTTTTCATATTTTTTGGTTTTGATGGTATAGCAGCTGGTAGTTTGGCTTCAATTTCCGGTAAGGTAGTATCGACGAAATATTTCTTGCCCTGACAAGTAAGTTTAATTTGGAAAAAATTTTCCCACAATTTCTCCCAAATGTCAGCTTCACAAGTTTTCTGTTTTTTTGCTGGATTTTCCACTTGAACAGTCAACACATATCGTGTGCCAGCTACGGTTTGACTTTTGCCGCTCATAATCCGTTTAAAAATAAGATCGAAATCGTCGTGTTTTTGGCTCAATTTCCCAAATGAATGTGTCAATTTTAGAGGTAATTCTTGGAGGTCTTCTTCATCGAGATCGCTAAAACCACCTACTATTGGATATTCTTCTGTGGTTTCTACGGGATATTCGGTGGCATTCACGCCACACAATAGCGCCAAAAACAACACAAAATTCAACGCAAACATTTTCGTTTTAACGCAAACCGAACGATGTCAGCCTTTAACGAAAAATGATGTAAGTATACTGAATCACATCTTCTTTTAAATGCATACTTTGTTAATAGCGACTGAAAATACTTGATTTGATATGTGTTGCCTTTCTTATAAAACCGGTTATGAAGCTCCATATTTGCCTCCCAATATTGGTCTCTAATACAGTAAAGCCTGCGAATAATGGAACCCGTTAAAAGGGGAAATCTTGCGAATCGCGGAAAAAAAAAATCCATCGTCATGTTTTGCTTTTTACTGTACAGTTAAACAAATGCAATCTTATAAATTGCATTTCTTACATTTCCGTCAATCATCTTTATCTTTCGATGTGTTTCAAATACAATTTCTGATGATATTGTTTCTGTGATTTATTCATGATTTGGGCCGGACTGCTTCAACGTTCTGATAGTGTTTGGTGACAATAAATCACCGATTCATACTACATTAAAATAAATATTTTTAAATATTTTCTTTTCAATTTATATGACATTCGATTGAATGCAATATTATCTTCATTATTGGTGTATTTATTTATTTCAAATAGCACCACAATTATACTTTTAGCGACTCGAAAAAGTTCGATGTGTAGTGTCTGCTTTAAGTAATTGTTGATTTTGGTGATATTTCTAAAACATATCTCATAATTTTTCGTTCTATATATTAGAGTATTCTATGATCAATATAGCATTCCTGAAGTTTCATGTGAAAAAGCAGTTTTTTTTTATCACTATTATATGATGATGGTAACAAAATGTCATCAAACACAGTCAGAAGGTTATCGCTAGGGGTTTCACGCAATTTAAAATTCATCTAAAATTTCAATATTTCTCTCTTTTCTCTCACATTCTCTGGGATTCGCCAAAATCCGTATTATTTCGAAATATTTCAACATTCACCTTGAAAATTATGTTTTGGAAGCGAGTTTTGGAGGATCCTCAGGATCGTTCAAAACTGCTCCCGGTTCTGGAAGTGGGTTTTGGTGGATCTTCAGGATGGATCAGACTGGGTTTGACAATGCCCTGGTCCATCCTGAGGATCCACTTCCAGAACCAGGAGCGGTTTTGAACAATCCTGAGGATCCACCAAAACCCACTTCCAGAATTTTTAGATTCAAAAAATTCTAAAAAATTCGAGTTTATGAATAAAAAGAAGCAATATCTATAGTTTACACATAAAATGGTTTTATTTCCAGTTATTTAGTAAAATCTTCGGCCCTCGAGTGTGCGTGAAACCCCTGGGGTTATCGTTATTGATTTTTTTGTCTGCCTCATGATCGTATTTTATAATTTAATTGACAGATTAGAATAGAGTATTCCAACAGGTGCATCATCGATCATCGAAACATTCTATTTTTTGGTCTTCCAACAATGTGACATTTCTTCCAGAATTTTTTTCGTCTTAATGCCAAAGAAGTTAATTTAACCGATTTTAACCGAAATTTACTTGAATGTCATGTAGCAACAACTCTGAATATTTGCTAAAATAATAAGACAATCCAACCTATTTATCGAGAGATTTTTTCGACTATACTATGTCTCATATCGATGTTTTTGCGGTGTGAACTTTTTTTTATATCGATATTCCATTATGGCGAATTTGACAAGCTTGAAAAATTGATAGAAAACAAAATGTAAAAAGATCGGCAACGTTTATGGTAACGGATTAAGAACATTTTATCTTAAAATGGAAGTGGAAGTCGAAATGGAATTAATTTCCTACACGGAAATTTCGAACGATTGTTGAATTGTTGTTTTTAATACAGGGGGATTCACCGTACACACATAAACTGGTTTTAGTTTGTCGCCAATCTCATGTGATCGACATAATAATACTATTAGGCTAATTTATCGTTTGTGATTTCGCACAAGTTTGCTACAAGGTTTTTTTTCTTAAGAACATCTATTAACATTTCGGAATCGTTTGTTTTTTCTTTTGATGCGAAAAAAATGCTATGTTTCGAATGACTGTCATTTCACTTTCATTTGTAATGATATTTTCTTTTACTTTTTGCTAGGTAATTTGATGTGTGGTGGTGAAAATTTAGGTTTTTAATGGGATCAAATGGTTTTTCATTAGTTTCATGAACCAAATTCGGTTTTGACTTGATATTTAGAAGAAGAAGAAAAAATAAGGGATATATTTATTAATTAATTATAGTTTTAATTTAGACCTGAACATTACTCAATTTCTATAGTCCGATATATTGATATGGTTAAAAAAAAGTTCCATCAAGTACAGTATGAACTCTATGAAGCTGTTGTACGAAAGTCAGTAACACATGTACTGAATCTATGATTATTTTATACACATACATAGCCGAAATAGTCGAAAAACGGGTATGATTCAAACATTCAAAAATGTAGAATGTTGAATAAATTAAGTCGGATGCGGGCCTATGAGCAGCTTAAGAAGCTAAATATTATTTAACGAATTTCATATGTGTTTAGAAAATCATAAGCTATACCTAAAATGAACTATATCATTTTACCATTTATATATATACACGAAATGTGTCACGTTTGTGATAGCGTCCATAAACGTTTTTTGTTTCACTTAACTGGAACCGAACATATATATGCTAATGACAAATGTCTCGACGTTGATTTATTTAATTGAAAGATGAATGACAAAAAGAGAAGTGTTTATGTACGTCAATCATTCGATGGCCCATTTATGGACGCTGTATAAATTCCAAAAAAAAAAAAAACAAGAAGCACATAGGGGAGTAGAAAAAAACGCAATTGTCTTTAGTAAAATATTTCTTTTTACTACTATCATATGAACGTTACACAAAATGGGTTGTAGTCAAATAATCATTGGAATTAGCCTTTTTAGGCACCTTTCAACAAACAATTATCGTTGATTTCTGATAATTTGGCGGAACTTGCCCACAAAGCTAATCCACAAGCGTTTTTACCGCGAGCAATGCGGAAGAACCCTGAAATATACATAAGAAAAAAAAAACAAGATGATGAAAAAACAAAATCGGTGAGCAAAAGCACCCAAACAAAAAGTGTGAAATTGAAATGGAAATCAAAACATATTCGATAATCTTCAATCAAGACTAAGAATAAAAATTTACCGTTTTCTCCCCATCCAGCTGCCCATGAGTTTTTCACGATCCAGTATGGCAATTTCTCGCCAGTTGTACTATTTTCAACGCCATATCCAATAATAGTCACTGCGTGGTTAATTTTTTTCGGACTACAGAGCTGAGCTGTTGGATTGAGAACGCCTCCTTTATAGTATTTCAATGGAGCAGCGTTTATAGCAACGGCAATCGGACCATTCGCGTATAGCCATCTTTTCATTCCTTCTTCATCATTCTTCTTGAATTTGACTGGTTGAGCCACCTTTACCCGAACATTACGCTTTTCGAAACGGCATGTTGATTGTCCATATTCGTATGGATAAACTGTCTCCAATTCTAGCCCACCTCGTTTTGCGATGTGTTTCACAGCATTTTCAGGGACACCACCTTTGCATCCATAATTGCTTTTATCACAATCAAGTAATGATTGTTCCGAGAACTCTTGCAACTTTTTGATACGTTTTGCGCATAATCCTTCGACGACCGCCGTTGTCACGAATGCCCAACAGCAAGCACAGTCACCTGTAATGAACAGAATGGTATATCGTATGTAATTGGATTAAATCTTACATTGGACATCGATGGTGAATTCAAATGAACCATATTAACCTTGATTTTTCACGCGTGTGACCAGGTTTTCTTCACGTTGATCATAATGTTCAGGAATTTTACCTCCCACACCGGAGGATCCCTCTGCATCGCTTGGAATATCAGCCTCTTCAATATCACCAGTTGTATTCAATAAACTTTCGTCCCAACCGAGAATTCGTTCAAACTCATTATTTGTCAAATCGGCGAATTCAGTAATGGAATAATCAGCTGCTGAATGATCTGATTTCGTATGCTCTTGCAATGTGAGAAAGTTTCCCCTAAACACATCATAACGGTAGGCCATCTCATTTGGTTCGTCGATATATTCACGTTTATATTGCCTCATAAAATCGTGGAATAAATTATTCAAGTAGTTGTCCAATTTTGGCCCTTGTGGCAATTGTTCTGGAGGAGGTATATTAAAATTGGGTTTTGGGGATGAAGGAGCAAGGGTTGGTTGAATGGGTTTATTGAATGGCAATGATGGCACTGGTGGTAGTGGAGCTAGTGGCTGAGGTTTGTACACTGGTGCCAAAGGCTTCAATGGCGGTAGAGTAGGGGACGATGGTGCCTAGAGATGTACATTTTCGATATGTTATAATTAAAATATTTCCTAACATATTTATTACAGTGAATGTTTCGAAATCTTAGGTTTTTCTTAAGATTTCTGAACGTTCGTTTCAGAAAGTGCATTAATAAATCGTAAATAATAAGCAACATGTTCAGAATGTTAATATTTTTTACCGATTGACTCAAAGATGTTAATTCATTCAATTCTTTCTTTCGTTTATGTTTTTTTCACAAAAATTCTACGAAATCATTCTATTATTCTTTCGCCAAACAGTACGGGTTACAAATTAAAAACCCACTTGTGCAATTTTAAAGACAAAGTCGAGGAGCTGGATAAATCTGGTATTTATGCAGCACTATGCACAGGTTGTAACCAACCGTACATCGGACAGTGTAGTAGAGCAGTGCGTGAACGGTATGGCGAACACTACAAGCCATTTCATCAAAAAAAAAAAAAACACACGGCAAATCAACACCAGCCGATCATATGTTGCAAAACAATCATGATTTTGCGGGTTTCCGTTTGTTAAAGGAGGTCAATAGCCCAAGAAAATTGGATGCTTATGAAAATTTGTATATTTACAAAACGAAGCGTTCAAATATGAACATCCAAAGAACGCAAGTTGAAACATCTTTATATAAATCTTCAAAACCATTGAGTACAGAAGACATTTTCAACAAAAAATCGCATGTTTACACTCATTAGCCGTGATTTAAATGTCATTTGAAATGTAAATACACAGGAATTTTGATTTTAGCAACCATTGTGACAATTATCGTATTTAGTTTAGTTTTCAAACTCGCCTGAGGATGGTGGAATGTCCACCGGAAACGTTTGCGGAAATATAATTTTTTCGTTATTTGTACCAGAATAAGAATAAATAAAAATTCATATGTTATTTTTTAACTGGTATAGTTCACGTAATGATTTGTTGATTAAAATCAAACAATGCAAATACGCTAGATATCGTCCAAACGATATATTAAATATGCATAAATAATAAATAACACGAGCCCATGACTACTATGATATTTGAACGACGATGTGTATGCGCGTTGTGTTTCCCTTCTGATTGGATGCGCGTTCTTTTTTCGCCTTTTCTTCGTAGGAACGAGTGCGGCAGATATCTCGATATCTGATATATCGTTTGGATGACATCTAGCGTATTTGCATTGTTTGGATAATATACAAGACGCTATGCTATGTTGATAAGTATATTTAATAAAATATGTCATTACAGGTAAATTTGAATTGGTACCTTGTAGATTGGTTGTTGTTTCAGCGGGGCGAACGATGGTGCCTTGTGGACAGGCTGTTTGTATACATGTTGGGGGAACGATGGTGCCTACAGATTTACATTTTCAACATTTTTAATATTATGTCATGTTACACCAAAAATATCGCCATTATTGGTACCTTGTAGATTGGTTGTTGTTTCAATGGGGTAGGAAACGATGGAGTAGGAAACGATGGAGCTTTGTAGATTGGTAATGCAGGCGATTGTGTAGGTTTGATTTGAAGTGGCTGAGGTTTATATACTGGTGCCAAAGGCTTCAGAGTAGGGAATGGATGGGGAGGATTATAGCTGATTTGCAATGGTTTACTGGTCGTTGAAAATGGTTTAAATGTTGTGAACTCGGGCAATTTCACAGGTTTGAAAGGTGCAGGGAACGAATCTATAAATCAAATAGAAATAACAACATAGAAACAGTTTTATGATAACTGATAAGCTGACTGTTTCGAACTAATCTATTTATATTGTTGTAAACTGATTCAAAAACGGATTTTGTGGTACAGACACTACAGATTTACATTTTCGATATGTTATTAATATGTTATTGCCCGACATACTTATTATTATGTTATGTTCGGATTTTTTTACCTTAATAACGTTGTTAAGATTCAGCATAATAATAACATAATATGTTATGCGTTATATCGGGTGCTATCTTAATAAATCCTAAGATTCGGCGGTAATAACATTTTATTAACTATAATAATAACATATTATTAAGATGGATTTATTAACTCATTAACGCAAGATGCAATCTCAAATTCAAGGTCGGGACTGGCGATTTCCTAAACTTAATGGTTAAGTTCAATACATGATAATTCCGTTTCAAAGAGTCATTTTAATTTTATTGCAACAGTGCAAAAATTCATGTGTGTAATCCGCAGTGAAAAAACAACTTGTCAGTGCTCCGGTGAAAAAAATGCGCGAAAAAAGCGTTATTAAGATTGTATCTTAATAATATGTTATTATTATAGTTAATAATATATTATTAGCGCCGAATCATAGGATTTATTACGAAAAATCCAACATATTTAGTAACATATTATGTTATTATTATGCTGAATCTTAATAACGTTATTATTATGTTATTAAGTATAGTTAATAATATGTTATTGCCTGTAAATCTGTAACAGACACTGGTTTTGGTTTCACAAAATCAAATTTGAACGGTGGCAGAGTCGGAGGTTCAGCTGGCTGATAACTACTCAAATAGTTTTGTTCTACGAGTTGCCAGGAAAACAAACACATCAAATTGTATTAAACTTTTGAAACTAAAAACGAAAATGTAGCAAAATTTTAAAAAGCCTATGTTATACCTGGTTGGTGTTTTTCGGCCGTTGGCAAGTAAACTCGTGATAGATCACATCGCGTTTGTGAAATGGTACACAGTATAAGCAAGAATACCGCACTGATCATTGATTTTACTGACATTTTTATATGTCTTTTGTTACAGAAAAATATCGTTCAGAATTTTATTTAGCTCACACAGTACTTTTCATCGCGGTAGACACTGAGCTAATGAGATCCGATTAACAAAATATCTAAAACATCGGGTGACGAACAGAATGGTCAAAAAAGAAGATACATAAAACAACCTTCACACGTATACAGAGCATATGTGGCAAGACAAGTGGAAGATGATATCGATATTAGATGCTGAATAAATCATTATGTAACCGAAAAAAAAAACAAAAACAAAACGAGAATTTACGGAAACAAGTTGTTGGTGTGAGCAAATTTCATTCATATAATTTGAAAATGTTGATTGGTTTACCCCACCTCAACCGCAATGTGAATCAACGCAAATTTTGGCAAATTGAATAATCAATTCGAATTTGAATGTGAATGTGAATGTGAATATGAATAAGAAAAAGCATAAGGGTTTTTCTGTATTGCATAATGATTTATTACGAATGTTAACTCAAGACAGTAAATTAATTCTATATTGGTATAACATTTGTGTAAAAATTTCAAACATATAAACATATAAAATTATTGTATTTTATTTCTTTTCTGTATCAAACGATTTCAACAGCTTTGGAACCGACGTAGTTTTTTTTTCTTCAATATTTGTTTATGTGACAAACAAACAAATATCAGCAATATTTATCAGCAAAATTTTCATTTCCTTCACATCCAATAGCCCTGTACTGCGTTCCATTTTTGTATTATCAGTAGTTGTTCGACTTTGCTAACACCGCTGAACTGGCCATTGAACTGACACCACAAGTATTATCGCCACGATGAACACGATAGTAGCCTAGATAGAATGAAACGTACATACATTGATTATTATTGGGTTCATGCGTTTTTTTCCTTCAATTTTTTTTAAAAATAAGATTAATATATACAACAGGCAAGAAATGAAAAGAACCTACCTTGTTCGCCCCAACGTGGACCCCAGCTATTTTTGATGATCCAATATGGCATTGTTTTGTTGAATGCTGGATACTCGGCAACACCATAGCCAACGATCAATACGCCATGATCCAATGAAGATGCACGGCATAGCGCCTAAAATTTTAAACATATAAACAAATAAAATTATTGTATTTTATTTCTTTTCTGTATCAAACGATTTCAACAGCTTTGGAACCGATTTAGTTTTCTTCTCTTCAATATTTGTTAATGTGACAAACCTTCCATGGATGAGAAATACCGCCTCGATAAAATTGCATGGCATTTGCGTTTATTCCGATCGAAATTGGTCCATTTGCTGAGTTTTCAAAGAGAAAAAAAAGAATGTAAAATGTAGAAAGAAAAAAATTCATCTTCGATTTTTATTTTCGTGCCTGTTAACCATTTTGCCATTCCGTCTTCGTCACCCTGTTGAATTGTATCGATAGCATTTCAAGTTAAATGATCGGCTGTTAATTTTTGGAAGTTATTACGTTAATATTGTATTGGAAATACTTACCTTCTTGAAGTCGACGACACCCGATACTTGAACACGACTCTTTGACGCATTGAATTGACATGATTTTGATCGATGTGCGGTGTATGGATAGTCTGACTCCAATTCCAGACCACCTTCTTTTTCGATAAATTTAACAGCATTGTCTGGCAAACCGCCGTTGCAGCCAGCATCCAGATCATCACAGTCGACAAGTTCTTGTTCGGAGAATGAATTCAACTGTCCTGTTTTGATTGCATTCAATCCCTCAACATTTCCAGTCACACTGAATGCCCAGCATGATCCACAATTTCCTTGATTTTTTACCTAAATCGAAAAAAAAAACTCGAATTCAGTTTCAATCGACATTTTCGTCAATTTTTTTTAAACAGTTTTAAATAAATTTTACCGGTGTAACTGCATTAAAATCACGCCAATCATGTGATTTTGGCAGTTTGATATTTGGGATTTCAGCCAATGGATTTTGAATTTCATTGTTTAATTCATCGTCATCGTTTCGCTTCAAGAGTCCAGTGCGTTGAAAATATTCGTCTTGGGTTAAATCAGCGAATTGGGTGACTCCATACTTAGCCGTTCCTTGTTCGAATTTATTTAGTTGTCGTATCAAGTATAAATTATTTTGGAAAATGCGGAATCGCATTGCTTCTTCCTCATCATTTTCATAGATACGGCCAAAATTTTGTTTGAATTGAGTGAAGTGTGATTGGGCTGAATCAGCATCCAATTCATCAGCGTGTTGCTGTTGTTGTTGCTCATCATCTGGAATCAAGGGCCGCAATAATTGTGATGATCGCTTTGGTCGACTATCATTGATTAATTTATATGAGGCACCACTATCGCAATTTACTTCGACTTGACGGAAATCAATCCATGGCTTAACCCAAAGCTTAATCTTACAGTTCTCTGGACCATCTTTAGTGTTAACGATCGTATTAACTTCGTATAATGTACCAGCGACCACCTGTTTGGTAGCACCAAGCACTTCTTTCAATTGCAACGATGGTTTACCCTCGGATTCTAGCTGCACGAAACTATCGCTCACATTTCTGCGTAATTCTTCGAGTGTTTCGGGATCATCTACTGGACTTGCACCACCTACAATTCCACTACGTTTGCTGCGGCTCTTTTTGATAAATTTATACTTGGTTTCGTCGTCACAATCAAATTTCGTGATTCTACGTTCACCGGTCCATGGTTTGTGCCACAACGAGATGTCACAGTTCTTTGGAATGTTGTTCTCCGAACTCTTGAACTCGGCACGTATATTGTAATTCTTACCAGCTACAACTTGAACGGTGCCTGATAAAATACGTACTAAACTAAGATCCACGCCATCGTTTTGACCTTTCAACTCTTCCAACGATGCAGTCAACAATCTTTCGGCCGATTTCAAATCTTCGTCATCGATTTTTTGTGGTGCACCAACCAAAATATCGCAGTTTATTATGCCAATGCATAAAAATGCAGAAATCATATAAATGAACTGCATTTTAAGTCGTAGCTCGACTACGATGTTTACTTGATATTACGTTTCCTTTGCTTAATTGCGATGTATTATTTTATTCTTTATGAAATCACAGAAAAATATCAGTACTTTTCTTGTGTAACGCTGCACATGTCAATAACGACTGATTTATATTCGAATGTCATACGTTGAGACCTTATTTAATGTTAATTGAAGCAACAACAACAAAAAAAATGTACAAAAATCACGAAAATAAGTCGAATAACAAAAACAAATGAATTGAGAACGTCTAGTCAACAAAGAAAGATGTTTTATATGCGTATATACACATACATATGCATATACATATACGTATACATATGCATAGACACACAACGAATGACATTTGAAGAAGTATATCTATTGCTAAACAGTTTGATAAATCACAGCTGTTGTTCGATTTTCAAATGATGCGGAATTTGTTCAACGTTTTTTTCCCTATAATTCAGCAAGTGCAAACGATAGGAATGGATTTATATGGAGGAAATAACGAAATCGTTGAAATTCCTGGGATTGATTATCATGGTGACTTTTTTTCTAGCAAAAAAACACTTTTCTTCAAATACAAAACAGACATATGTTCGGAATATTTGGAGTAGTTTTTTTTGTAGATCTACTTATAGGATCCCTATTGAAAAAATTCAAATTTTTTGGATGTTTATGGTTGGAAATGGCAAATGGCATATTAGGTTTAAATATGCTTTGTACCATAAAAATTAATACATTTTCGAAAAGAAAATTAAAACCACTTTTTAAGAAAAATTCAATGAAGAATAAACCGAATTAATTCACGAAATAAAAATATGAAATATTCACCACACGTGAATGTAAAGTGTTTGAGCACCATTCGTGTACCATAGAAATGTCAAGCGTTGAAATTTCTCATAGATAATGTGTTGACAAAAGTGCCAAACAAACCGTAAACGAACAGAGCATGTGAAGATACAATCGCAATTATAAACTGTATTTTGTGTTTCACTTTGAATTTGTTGTCATAGCAAACGTTTAATCTCAGCACTAGAATTGGATAATTGAGAGTCGAATATTGTTAGCACTTCCGCTATGCTTTAATTTTAATCGAGAAATTATATTTTGATGACCTATTTTTTCGAAAAAAATAAAACGATTTCATTCTTTTCAGATCATATTAACCGATCAGTTTAGTTCTTTTTTCTCCCGAGACAAGGGAATATTTAAAAAAAAAAAATGGATTTTTGGCCCTAAAAAGAATTAGATTTGGTTTTTCAATCAAACAAAAAATTAAAAGGAGCTGACGGAGGGAAATCGATAAAAATGAAGATAAGAACTCGGCCATTTCCGCGCACGTTTAGTGATTGGGCAACAACATTGTTCTTGGCCCTGGCAATTCCATTAACTTACTGGTTTGAACTATGGATTGTGACACCAGCCCTGTTCAGCATCGATTCATTTATGTGTGCATTTAATTTCGTACTTGGGACCTTCATACTTTTCAATATAGTTAGCAATATGATGGCATTGATACTGTGCAACACAAGCATAATTGGCCAACGGATTGTTCGACCCACCAAAGCAAGTTCGTCATTGTGGAAATTCTGTGCGATCTGTGAGTCTGTAACACCTCCACGTTCCTGGCATTGTACAACGTGTAATGTTTGCATCCTGAAGGTAATTTGAGCACAAGTTCTGTATCCGGAAATAAATTTTACTCATAATCAGAATATAATTTTTCTAATTGGATAAAATTGATTTATATTTATTTTTTTCTTTTATTTTCCTTTTATTTCCTCCTCCATCTCTATGTATGTGTTTGTCTGTTACTCTGCCCAGAGAGATCACCATTGCATGTTTACTGGTATGTATTCCTGTACAGACGAAAAACATAACCAAAAATATATTGATACTAAGACTAAATGGTAATTTCAAAATTTTCAACAGGGTGCTGTGTTGGTCATCACAATCAGCGATATTTTATATGCCTTGTTTTCTATTTATTCATCGGAACGGCATATTCAAGCGTGCTGAACACGATTTTCGTATGGTTTGTGCATGGTGTTGAATATCACACAACGATCACAATATTCAAAATCATTTTCCCCTTGGCAATGCTAATGTTTGAGGCATCGGTTTATCAATACTATCTACTAATGTACTTACTAAATATGATTGGCGCTGTATTCACGGGGTTTCTACTTTTTTACCATTTACGAAATGTGTGGCGCGGTTGTTTAACACACGAATCTCTGCGTCAATTCGATTTGGGACTAATGGAAAATATTCGCATGGTGTTTGGCGTTCGATGGTATTTGAGCTGGACATCACCATTTGTGAAAAGTGATTTACCATTCGATGGAGTTGATTGGGAGAAAATTTATGAAAAAAATACGAAAAATCTTTAATTAACTACCAAAAAACAAAACGAATTATCTCTCACTGAATTTTCTTATGAATAACAAAAATGTTATGAACTCAGGTGAATAGATCGACTTTTGACCAACTCTATCTAAAAGTTTATTATCAATCAATTAAATCTAAATAATATAACAATTTCGTTCAAACTGTATGTTTCTTAATTCCGATCCGACTAATTTTTTTTCTAACTGTAGTTTTTTTTCTTCTAACATATTAGTGAATATTAAATGGTGCAAAAAGAGCAGAGAAATAAAAACATTAATCTAATATATAAAACTGCGTTGAAATGAGTAATAATTTTATCAGCAAACACGACTAAAATTTATGAATTATTTTTATTTCTGTGTGTTTATCTGTGATTTGTTCATTATTATTACTATTATCATAATAATCATCCAATAAAACGATCTAATAAATTTCAGACAACGTAAACACTGTGCTCTTTAAAAAAAAATACATTTTTCTAATAGGCTATGGAATACATTTTTAACGTAAACAATTCGGTGTGCATATTTAGAATATAACTTCTTCATTTCCGCATAAAATATGCCCCTGTTTCCGTAATAATTGCTGTTGCATTTGCTGATACTGTTGCTGATGCTGTAACAATTCACGGTATAGTGACTTTCGTTCCATTTCCAAGTCTGTAATTCGTTCGCTTTTCTGACTCACTTCTTCGGTCAATTTTCGATTTTGTACTTTTAATTGATTCATTTGAACATCAAAAAATTGTGGCAAACCACTACCGTTGTTGTTTATGTAGTAATGATTGCGCACCGCTAAATTCATATGCATTGGAAATCCGCCCTGTTCCCAGCTCTCTTCAAGCGATGCCAAGTGCCGATTTACCTCCATTATTCGAGCTCGCTGCAAATCTAATCGCTCTTCATAGGCGTCTGACCACTGCTCCTATTTTAGGGAAGAGAGAAATATAATTGAATCAATGGAATTAATAATCATTTTATCATCAAAAAAAACGATCTTCACTTTAGTTTATAATACTAGAAGAAAAAAAAAATGATTTCTCGTGACCTCAAGAAGGATCTTATAAATGCAGTTTTGATTTTCGAATTAAATTTTTACAAGTTTGAAGGAACTTTTTTTTTATGGGAAAGCATAGTCAGTACTAGATCCAATTTATGAGTAACACTTTGAATTGAACAATTTTATCATCTCCATTAATCGCTCTTTGAGTAAGAAGTTGCGTTCTGTGGGTATGATTTAAATTGAGACTCGGTGTTTCATTATACGTTGGTCGCTAGTACGATTACATTTTAGAAAAAGAAAATATGATTTTTAAATGATCTGTTTTTGTAGCAAGAAGTGATAAAAGCGAGAGTTCTACGTGTAATATTACAAAATAGTTTATATTCCATGAAATGAAGAATAAATGAGTTTTGCTTACCAAATGTCCGTCTCCACGACCTAAAGATTTCATTTTCTCCTGAATCAAGGCAATCTGCTTGAAATACCATTCTTGTGCTTTTTCAATTGCAACCAAACCATCAAGTAGTAGATCTAGTACGAAAAAGTGGTAATATATGAGAAAGAGATGAAGAATATAATGATATCCGTTTACAAATAGAGCTAAAAATTGAATCGGAATTTTTAGCCGAGCATTCGGAGTGTGTTAACGATCTCAATGATAATAATATTATGATCGCAAACAGTCTATCTAAAGTTCACGAAAAATTGCCATTAGGATTAACAGAACTTTTGACACTTATCTTTCATCACCTTTGACACTTTACTCACCTTTCTCTTCTTCGAAATGCCGAATCCGTTTCAACATATTATAATCGATACCATTCTGAAGTGTGTGGCGGCGTCGATCATCGCGACGTCGATTACTCTTCTTTTGAAATTCCAAGAGTGTGGGTGAACGATTTGCCGGGTAAATTGACGGTGATGACTTCTGACTTGAGTTCAATTGTTGTGCTGATGATGTTTGTTGTTGTTGTTGCTGTTGATGTTGCTGAAATGGCGTGTGATTTGTTATTGTATTGTTCGATGATCCATCGGCTGTGCCTCGATTAATATCTCGATTAATATAACTGGTGCTTGGTAATGCCATTGCTCGTCGTTTATCTTTGGCCTCCCATTCATTCATCAACACATTCATTTGCCAGTTTTGTAATGCATTTCGGATTTCAGCTTTGTCACATCGATCTTTAGAATCATTGGATGAATTTGACGACCCATTTGACAAAAGCAAAGCAGTTCGTGGTGGTTTTGGTGGTGCATAAACACTTGGTATAACTGGCATTATGTACGGATCCGATGACGAATCACCATCACTGCACGGGCTCAATTTCGGTAAACTTAATGTACGTTGCACCGGTAATGAAGATCTTTTGTATCTGCATATCAAAGTACACACAAAATTTCATTTACAAATAATAATAAAACAATTAAAGTTACATATTATATTCAATTTGCAAGAATAAGGGATTGTGGTTTTTAATCTAAGAAATATGGGGTGCATCGCCCTCCAAAAACCACCTATACAAATCAAATACAAAATTAATAATGACTAATTTTTAAATCAACGTCTACACTTACATGTGAGTTGTTTTATTCGTATCCTCGTTGATGCTAGCGGTGCTGGCAAGGATATTATTCATGTGATTACCATGATTATTGTTAATTTTATTGCTATCGCTACTATTACGGTTGTTTTCATTGTTGATGACAATATTGTTGCTGTTGCTGTTACTATCAATCGAGCCCATTTTACAATCGTTGGCTTGGTTACGAAGCAAGCAAATTTTCAAGCCTGCACAAAACCGTTCGAAACTTAACATTCCGGACACCGGAGTGACACGCCTTAGGCAATCGATCACACCGTGTGGTAATCCTTTTGAACCATCATCTTGCCATCGCGCTTCAATGTCCGATAATCGCACAAAACCCGTCCGTTTATCATCCATTATATCAAAGAGTGTACGCATACTTGAGACAAATTTCTTTGGCAAATTTTCCAATGGGCTTGAGCCACTTCCGCAGCTACTTGAATGCGAATTTAGGCTGTTCGTTGTGTTTGTACTACTTCCGCTGTGGCAACTGCCATTTGTCGAAATTAACGATGATTGCTGTGTTGATGGCGGTATATGATGGGCCATTGAATGGACTGATGATTTACTATCAATCACATTCATTGGTGACACAAACTTTGTCACTGTATTTCTGTTCATTTTGATTATAAATTTACGTTGTTTATAAAAATAAAATGCGAGAACATGTAAAACCAACGTATAGTATACACGCACAGCACACGAAAACTGTTCAAAACACACAGAGAGCGACAGAGTCTAAATGAACTAAATTGTGAATTTCTTTTGTATTCATTATTTTGTTTTTTTGTCGTGTCTCTGAATAATAATAGTTTTGCGCACATGAAAAACTAGTTCGTAAACCAAAATGACAGCGAATATGCTTGCTTTTTGTGTTGTTAAAAAGTTGTTTCACATCATTATTATTAAATATTATTTGATAAAATGTTTCACTATTATTTAATATTTATACTTATTGTGTTAAGTCCCACTATTGTCTAAACTATCACTTATTGTTTTACATTATGTACAAAAAGTACCCGGAATACATCATTTTAGCCGCTTCAGGTATATGTATCGTGTAAAGTATTTTTTTCCTGAGTTGGTACAACCTTAACAAACATCCAAGCCAAATTTGAACTCAATATGTCAATTAGTATAGCTGTGGCAGTGGTATAAGTAATACCTTCCGTAGAAGCGGCTAAAATGATGTATTCCGGGTACTTATTGTACATAATGTATTTTGATTTTCGGCGTCTCTATTCATTCAACGATTTGCTTGACACTGGCCGATGATTTGGTTTCTCAAAATAAAAACACTTCCAAATGCAAAAATATGAACAGCAAATTGCTTCTGTTCAGTTTGTTGCTCACACTCCTTCGATACCACAGCAAATGCATGCAACGACATGTCGACCATATTTGAAAGTCGCTCCGTAACTAAACGGTTTTGATTTTTCACACAGTTAATAAATTCAAATACGATGCTCGATCGATGCGCGTTTGAATATGCATTAAGTCTTTTAATTATTAATAGGTGCAATTTCAACTTGGCAACAAAAACCTCTGTGTTACAACTTCATACACACACATTGTTCCTTTTGTGCGAATCCATTCGGTTGGATCGATGACACATTGATACACGCATACAAACCAATCAATCGACTGTGTTCTGGAATGTTCCATTTTGTTGTAATTTTGAAATCGCTTCGAAACTGACTGAGGATAATTGATTTTTTTTCTTTATTCCATATTTGTTAATTCGAATTTTGGTGAAGAAAAAAAAATTCCGCTCAATTTTTATATGAAAAATGTTTTTTTTTTTTTGATAAAATCTAAACGAACGAATGTTACTCTTGCGCTACTGCAACCAATACAGAAGCAAATGTATTGTGTTGTGCATGACTCGAATATTTTTCATTCTACCTCTCCGTATAATTCGCAAGGCGACGAATGCACACGTTTTGTGTTAAATACAATCTGAAACGCATATACTTTTGAGGGCCTCTCAACTGTCGAGTTCGATACTCACGACCGAGGGTAGCGACTGCAAGTTTGTACGTGTGCACGCCCGGTAGCCGTATGGCTGTGGTATATGCGCTCTCCGTCGTGGGATTTACGTACTTATGTACGGCGTGTAGAAAACTAAATGAATTTTTTTTTGAAAAATAGTAACAATTTTTTTGTTCAATGTGCGTATAAAATAGAAATTAACTGATTGTCTAAACTGTTCATTTGGGAATGAGTCAATGGTTTACTATGTTGCATATTTATTATTGTTGATCTTTTTGTATGTCATTTTATTTTTTTTTTTAAATATAATAAATGAAAACAAAACACAAATCTGATGTGGTGATTTTTTGCGTTGTACCATTTGCTTATGTTTTCAACAATGAGTTTGCGGGAGGAGAGAGAAAAAAAAATAAAAGAACAATGCACACAATGGTTTATTCTCTTCTAGATAAGCTTTATATTCGCACGCATTTAACTTGCACAACAAAACACTCAACTATTAGTTCTACTTATTGTTGGAGCTTATGTACGCTTATTGAATTGTTATTTACTCTCAATATGTTCACCACTCATTTAAACTGTTTAAATTGTTCTTGTTTTCTGGTTATGCTACTGGAATTTTATGAAACGATAGTTTTGCCACTCTCTTTTAAAAAGTTATAGTACATAAATCACTGATTTCTCAATGATTTCAATTTGAATGTAATTTGTATAGCTTTTTAATCAGAATTGTACAATTTCTTTGCACTGTTTTCTCACTCGATATATGATCTCTTTATGTGTTGATGTTCACCGTATTTTTTCTTTCTTCTTCTTTTTTGGATATTGACTTCCATGCAATTACACATCTCACAGAAAGAATTAAAAAAAAAATGTAGAAACATAAATCGATGCAATGAATATGGGACGGCGCGTGCACGAATCAAATATTGTATACAAGAAAAAATCACACCGATCTCAAGTAAAATTATTATATAAATTCCAAAATATGTGTGTGCTCACTAGAAAACTCAAATTAGTCAAATAAATATGTATATTTCTGCATTTATGCGCGCGAAATAAACACTCGACTGCGAAATCTCGTCAAATCGGCATTCGCTGCCTTGCTTCGATACGTACATGCATAAAAAACATATGCAGTCACACAGTCACACAGCAACAGCAGCAGCAGCCTCGTTGTTGTTTGTTATTATTGTTATTGTTTGAAACAAGTCTTTTGTGCGAAATGGCCGATGCAGCGAGATCGTGCTGAATATTAAAATTTAGTTTCACTTTATTATCCGATCGCTTTTTTTCCCTTCTTCTTATGTATAGCAAATGGAACGTTCAATGATTTTGCTGTTGTGATCACCAGTAAACACACATCATAACCAATAAGCGGATCACAAAAAGATCGTTTGTATTGTTGTTTTTATTTTTCATCTAATTGTTATTAACGATGCAAAAAGAGCAGCGAATGTCATTGCGCTGATTTGTTATAGCTCGAATTATATGTTACTAATGCATTTAAAAAAATTTTTTTTGCAAAATATATACGTATGCATATATTACAGCGAAACAAAAGAGAATAAGGTGTGTGAGCTGTGTTCGATAAACTTTAAACTGAAAAACACATCACACTTGCACTTCGGAACGTGGTAATCTTACTAACAGCGGCTCACATAGCACACTGATAATTCGAACGTTGTGGTTTGTCCAAATAAAAACGAACCGAAACTAAGCGAAATTTTGGTTTGGATTTCCGTATTTTATCATTGATCAAGTGTTTTTCCCAAAATCAAGTCAATTGTCTATCACTAATTGTTTTTTTTTTCATTCTCATTTTTTTGCAATTAACAAAATTATTCGTTGCTAATAACGAACATGAGTACACATACTTTTCTCACACTATTTTAAGCAAACAAATCGAACAATATATACCGCAGAAGCGTGCCGAGCCCATCAACACGCCGTATCCGTTCAACAAGATTCAAGTAACTGACATGAAAGTTTAAACAACAGACGACGAACAGCTAACACGAGGAATGAAGAGAAAAAAAAAATCATAGCCATGCCATTCGATCTACTGCTGTAATCCAGTCGTTGCTCACATTTCTTCGTCTCTATCTCTTTCTTATTCCTTTTTTGTCGTTTCTTAAAGTGTTTACTTTTTTCATACCTGGCATATTCATCAAGTATACACACAGATAGTATTGTATGCTCGACACACATGTATGACTTTGGGTTTTGGCTTATGTCTGCTCATATTATTTTTTTTCTTCTCCTGTATTTCTCGTTTTCTCGCCATAGCATCTCTCAAGTCTCTTTGGTTTCGTTACATTTGACTTTATCTGTTTTTTTTTTACTCTAACGTGTAAGCCATTCTTTCGATATCTGGCTTTCTTTTTTATATTCGTTCGGTTTTGTATTTATCATTATTTTCAGCCTCTCTCTTTCTCTTCGTCTTTCTCTCTTTCTCTTCTTCTCAACATTTAAGTTGGCTGGCATCGTCACTGGTTTTTCCTTTATCGATCGGATTAATGTGATGCTCGATATACTTCATCAACTTTCAATTCAAGTTCAATTATTGGGACAGTCTATATACTTCTTTAAAACACAATGAAAAGGGAACAATAACACAGCCAGATAACCAAAAATGGACGTTTATCAAAGATAAAAAGTATCCTTGACTTTGTGATAAAGTACGCTTCATCTTTCAATGTTGCTTCGTTTTGGAAATGTTTAGCAGATTTTTTGTAGAATTTTTGATTACAGTAGAACCTCGATTATCCGTCACCTCCGTTAACCGTCACACCTTTTCAAGGTGGAAAAGTTTTTTTTTCAGTTCATTTTTCAGTTTATTTCACTTGAACATACGAATAAAGTTGCCAACTAACTTTCATAATCAAAATCGATTGTGTGCCCCTTGTACATTCGCACAATAAGATTTGAAATCAGAGGCTTTGCGTTTTCGGTACACTTCTCGTATATACAAGATTGTCCAATATTTTGGACAATGCACCAAACGTCATAAACTAATTAGAAAGTATGGAAATTTTGATTATTTTGTTTTATTTATATGAAAGTCTCGATTATCCGTCTTTTTCGATTATCCGTCAATGCTCTGGTCCGGTGCCTGACGGATAATCGAGGTTCTACTGTATTCAAACATTTCCGTTAAGACCGCAATTGACGAATCAATTGCGTTGCTTAATATAATTTCATGCGTATATAGAGATTCATTCTATAGAATTCTTTTATAAAATTTAAATAATCAATATATGGGTAAAATATCCTGGAACAATTCGCGGAATGAAAATTCTAGGGGCTTTTAAGTCAAAATATACATTCGTATTTGTGTGAATATTTCGTGAATATTGCATATAATCCGTGTATATTATTCACCATATTCACAGAATACACACAGCATGTAAAAAATATGTGTTTACGGCAATGTCAAATCTTTGGTACCGATCGTGAATATGAGGTGTATATTTCATGAATATCGTGTATATTCCGTGAATATGGTGCATATTTTGCCAGTATTGTGAATATTTCGTATGACTGTCATCTATGGTGTATATTTCTTGGATGGAATATACATGGAAGCCCCTAGTGAAAATTAATATTTTCAATAAATTCAAATCAAATTCTCTGTGATCAACATACAATTATGGACATTTCAGGTTCATGTAATGGTAAAAATAGAGTTGGTAATTGAAAAAAAAAATTTAAATCTGACTTTAAAGAAAGTTGTGGTAACGATGATTGATGTCGCCTACACACATGACTGTTCTTTTTTCAAAACTCACATTTTAATAACCCCACATTGGTGATTGACACTTAAATTCAAATTTATTTCAAATGCCCAACTGTTTTATGATCAACAAAAACGATGTTGAAAAAGTTGAAGGAATTTTATAAGAGTCGTATGGTGAATGTATTGAAATAAATGTTGAATTTGATTCGAATCGATTATTTACAACAGGAAGAATGGCTGTTGCTACCATTGTTCACTTTAGAATTTAAGTCTACAAATTGTATTTGTCAACAATTAATTGAATATAAAATGAATAAAAAGGCGTAATAATTTCTTTAACACGTTTTATTGCACTGTGCAACAAGAAAAACGTGTGCACCACACAATTGTGAGTCACACGCATATCAAAGAAGAAAAGTTCTCTTTATTTTCATTCGGTAACATTAGATGGCTATTTATTTCTGCAGAATGGCTACTTACCTAAAGCGCAAACAAGCCATGAATCATAATATAGAGCTAACGAGATTCAAGAGCTGTACGTATTACCAAGCTCATTATTATTTTTCTCGAATGCATTTCTGTGTTTGTAGTTCACTTTTTTACTTACTTTACTTGTTTTGGTATCTTTCAACATCGACGGTAGTTTTTTGTATGTGTGTTACTTCCATTTTCTAATCTTTAGTGTCTATTTCGTTTTTTGTCTCTTGGCTCTTGTTCATTTTTCTTCTTCTTCGCTTTTTATTTCTCCCGCTTCTCTTTGTCACCTTTCCAATGGATTGTGTCTCGTGTGGATGCTTTGTTGATCTACTTTATCTTAAAACGTGTCGCCCTTCGCTTTTTTAGGTCGAATTGAAAACGAAAATAAGAAAGAAGCGAGAAAACGACAGCAACAAACACGGCGATGACAATGTAATGACAAAACCAAAATAACAGTACCAAAGTACCGTTTCACCGATTTTCAATTTTGTCGATATTGTTTTGTCAAAATACCGCATCCTACTACTTGCTGATTAAAATCATTTCCATTTCGAACACCCTACACACAATTTGTGGCAAATAAAAAAAAATATATATTGTAGCGGTTGGTTCTTTTTCTTGATCGAATACGCAGACATCAACTAAAATGCTAAACACTAAATACTAAGTGAAGTTGAAAAAAAATTGTGCTTGTTTTCGATTGTTATTCTTATTGTTTTTCTCCATTCATTAGAATTTATAGCGTTTCAACATAATAGTTATTTCGCTTTTTGAATATGTATGAGATCATGGCGCGCGAGTGTACAATTCAGACGAACTCAATTGAGAATGAACAAAAAAACGACAACGGCAACGGCGGCAGCAGCAGCAAATAAATCAAGAAGGAATGAAAAAACCACTGGATGGTTGCATTGCGCACACGATTAATACAACATACATGTACATAAATGCGCAGCGCGGATTCACGAATGTCACTAACCGCATCGCATCGCATCAGTAATCAGCGATGTGGAAAATACAGAGCTACATTATGGGGAGTGTACGCATAATGAAAACATTGACACGTATGATCCGTCGTATGCACGATGCATATAAATTCGAATAAGAACATTTTTTTTTTTCATTCTTCTGGAGGTGTTTGCCTCGGAGCATTTAAATTATGCTATGTTCATTGGTGTTGGAAATTGAATTCCGAAAAGAGAAAAAGGCTAAAAATTCTTTCCATCACGCTGTCTTCATCAAAGTTGTACAAAAAAATTTTTACGGCATGTCGAAATCTTCGATATTACAAGTGTTTCATAGCAATGACTCCACTTTGAGCATACCGCAACACGCATGACTGATCATAATCAATGATCTCTCGTTTTCTTTTGTCTATGAGACAAAAACCGATTCCTTTTATGAAAACAAATCACAAAAAACAACAACGAATTCGCATCGATCTGTCGATACCGTTTTCGGATGTGTTGTTGGTAATTTTTTATGAGTATGCATATAAAATGGTTCAAGTCACGAAGCTCATTCATACGCAAAACTTTTGACGATTAAGTCAAAAACATACATCCGTAGTTCTCCATTGATTTGGAGCTCACGTGTAGAGGTTTGGGTTATATGTATTATTTCGCCAAGTCTAAATCAGTCCATCTTCTTTTTCTAGATTCTTAGACACTGGTGTGTTTTTAAAGAAACCACGAAATACCATCAAGAAGATGTTAACTGTAGGGAAAACAACATAGTGACCCGTTATTTTGACAAAATTAAAAAATTTAACGTTCAAGTCAACAAAAGTACCCTTCAATCGAAATCAAATTTATGCCTGATTCATTATTAGAAGTCAAAAATGAAGAAAAACTGCTCAACGTATCATATCATTTTGTTGATTTGGTGAAATGAAAATGTTGGGTTTATTGAACTCGTTTCAAATTGCGGTGTTGTTGTTCGTCTCGCAATGTTGTCTTCGCATCGTTGCTGCAACAGCGTCTGTGATGCTGTAGCGAAAATTTACCTTATGCAATTGCATTTGCCATTATCGTGACTTAATATCTCCACAATTATTTTAATTTCTCTTCATTCTTTGATAAATATTTTTATTGTATTCATATATATATATATGCTTTTTATCGTTAAGACATGTTGCTTTTGCATTTTCACAAACGAGTAAAATAAATAAATGAATGAACAAAATGATGACGGCCTACGTTGTGAACAAGCGTGCACGCACACAGGCACGTCACACACACGTCATCTCATACCATTAGAAATGTCGACATACATCGACGACTCGAAGATCATAATACATTATTGTTGAAAGGAAAGTGTTTCGATTTGTATTTGTGTAGTTCACTTCACAAACTTTCTATTGTTTCACACACAAAAATAGACAAGTGAATTTAGACTGTCAAATAAGAAATATGCGTACATGTTGCAAATCAACACACATCATATGCAGGTGCAGGTGCAGGTACTCTTGACTAAAAAAACCGATTCTTATTTACCTTTGGAAGTAGTCAAATACAATACATATCAATTTCACGCAAAGTCCGTTTATTTAGAAAATATCGCTTTTGAATTACTATCTAAATAGTTATGAAAACTTAATCGTTTTTGACTAAAAAGAAAATCACATCTATCGGAAACGGGCAAGCACAATAATTGAATGGTTTGGAGCGAAAATTTAATACAGAAAAGTTGTGCGGAAAAATGTCCATGATGAATGAGCGGAAAAGGGATAGTAAACTGTATACTAAACTATAGTGAACTGTGTAGCTATTCCGTTTCATTTGACATTTTTCAACTCAACTTTTCAGTATAACATTTTCGCTCCAAACCATTCAATTATGTGCACAAATTTTCCAAAAAATCTGAGCATAACTAATATGCATCAGAAAGGGTTGAAATGGTCTGTGTTAGAAAATTCTTGTACGTAGCAATAGATTTACCAATTCAAATCTGAAAATGTTGTGCAAACGCATTTTTTTTTCTTCGAAAATATAAATGAGAGATTTTTTTGTTTTTTAATCGAATATTGCAGAATATTTTATTGTTCCCATGTTTCTATGCATTCTTCAGAAGATTATATTCCCTCGATTGGGAAAACGATTCTTTTTCTATTGGACTATAGATCGATAGAGTAGACAGAATACGAGTTTTGTCATTTTTTTTAAATTATCCTTTCATACACTTCCTCACAGCTTTAATGTTTTTACGAACGTTTGGGATGGGGTCTTCATTGAGGTGAGAGTTAAAGAAATGAGGGAGTTAAAATACATTTTTAATTCTTTGAAAATCACAAATACCAACATTTACATCAATTTTCATAATAAAACTTTGTTTTGGTGAAGATTTCAAATTCATATTTTTTTTCATTATTGTTAGTCATAAGTTTGAACATCTAAAAGTGAAGTGGGTTTGCTTTTGTTTGAAATCACCAAAAATACCGAAAAAATAGCGAATACAATTACATTACCGCGAAATTTTTTTTTTTACGTTTTTTGCGAGACTAGTTTGCATGTGTTTATTTTACGATCATATAAAAATAAATAAATTACTATCTATAATATAGCCTTTGGGGATTCAGAAACTCATTAAAAACGGCTTAGGTGGAAAAACAATACAAAATTCCGGCACATGTATTGCCGTAGGCAGCTCAAGCTAATCTCGTTTTATCGTCCAACATTTTTAGAAGGTTAGTATAGGGGTCTCACGATGATCCAATAGATCTGCAAAATTTGTACATTGTTAATTATTCGATCAAATAAAATTAGAAAAATTGAAATCAAATATACGCATACCTTTAGCAATGCTCCACCAAGGCAATGTTATGTACGTTAAAAATGCATTCAACGGCACTGACTGTTGTCGCCGATGCTCTTTCCAAAAATGAAATGTTTGCGTAAATCCTCTGCTAGCCCACAGTGGATTAGAAACACCATCATCCAATTCTATGGAATAAATTGCGAGAAAAAACAATGTTTTAATATTTTTAAAAAAAAAACAAATACAAATTGATTCTTTGTGTATCAATTGATGTAATGACAGAATCCATAAGCAAAATAAGCAGTTTGGCTAAAATTTGGCATAAAGTTGAATTGATTTAAATGATTTTTGAGAACCTTTTATCACATTTTTCGAAATATCGCACATGTAATAAATTGTGGTGCCATCAACTGTGGTTCGCGATGGAATTGAATATGGACAACAATTTGTTGTTTCAGCTTGAACCGTTGATACTTTCTTCATTTTCGGTAATGTTGAGTACATTCGATGCATTCGCTTGAGAATTGATTGTTTCTCTAATATTGACGTTGACACTGTCATTGATTGATTATTATAATTATTATTATTATTATTATTAGTATTACAGTCATCAGTCACGTTATTGATTTGGGTTTGACTGTGTTCTGCTTTTGATTCGGCGCTTTCATTTGAATTCATCTTATTATCGTGCAGAATTAATGGATGGTCATGTGTGCAAATCACTTTATCTGGTAGTTGGATTTTCGAATTCATTTCGTTTGTTTTGTGATCATCTAATTTATTGTTCGATTGCGTATTAAAACTTTGGCACAATTGCTGAATGGGTTCAGCTTGCACTTCAGATGAAACTGGTAACTCTTCCTTTCCACGAACTACTCGGATCATTTCATTTGTGTCAATCATATTTCGCGTTGCTTTTGATGTACTTGAATTGGAATCATCGAACATTCTATCACTAGATATAACTATATCATCGCCGAGCTCAAAATCCTCTGAATTATTCTTGTTATTTTCGATAATTTCTTCATGCACTTTTTTGTCGACATTTATTATAGCTGTAATATTTGGCATTTTTGTTTGAGAATGGACTTTTGGTTGAATGGCCCGGCCTCGGCTTTTGTTTCTTTGAATTGTCCGTTTTGTGACGTTGGTGAGGATGGCCGGTGAATCGTATCGATTTTTCGGTATATGCACGACCTCGTGATCATCCTCATCGCATGTGCGACAGTATATTTCAGACATTTGATTCGATATTGCGTCATCATCACCCCATTGATTCCTCAATGGGCCAAAGCAGTTGCAACATGTTGGTGTTTTTGCTGTTGTTGTTGGTGGTGATGGTGATGGTGATGGTGGTGGTGATGGTGGTGGTGTTATTGTTGCTACTGCTGCCGCCGTAGTAGTCGTCGTAACCATCGATGCACTATGTCGATTTAATTTGACGCTGGTTTTGTTTGGGGAAGCAGATCTCAGACCATCTATGCAATATTCAAACAAAGAAAGATAAAAAGTGAACAAAATTTTAAGTAAATAAAATGTACAACCAAAGCATCGAATAATCATTATGAGATGAAGTTTAGCTAAGTTTGTATCTAAATAGGTCAGAACTATAAGTTTTAAAATAAAGAGACAACATTTTTAAATGTGAGCTTCTTTAAAACTGAAAATAAATGAAAACAATAAAACTCAAACAAAAAATTGATTTAAAATAAAGTAATAAATTTAACGAAATTGAAGATGAATTCTTGGCTCTGCTTCCCCTACATTGTAATTGGCTTCAGTTTTACCATTGTGTTTTAGCGGTTCAGCGTTTGATGGTACGGATTTCAACCTGATGAAATTTTCATCAATATGATAAAAATCATGAATATTGACCGATCGATCAATGACCATAAATTTAAAACTTAAAAAATGAGTGAACTCACAAAACCAAATTCATTGAATATTTACAGCCAAAACAAAAACCAATGACAAGACAAAGCAAAAGTGAGAGTTTTATTTTGTGCACTATGTTGTTGTTTGTAAACAAATGCTCCATAAGATACATTGTTGCAAAGTGTCCATAATGTTGAAACAGTGCATAGTGACAGTGTAGTCCGTAAGGTGCATTTGTTTGTAAACTTTAGAGAAAAAAGAAACAAAATGAATCTATTCGCATATCGAAAAAGTCCAGTTAAAAAACCTCAAGAGTGGAAGAACAAGTTGATGAATTTTGTCGAAATTATGATGAAAAGCAGTATAAGAAATTGTGATATGAACACAGTGGCAATATATTGACACAAAGTTTCTTCTTTGTCTATCCTTCGGATGTGTTCATGCGTTTATATTGGCAACCACCGATACGGACAAAGCTTCATTTGGGTTTGTGTCTTCGATATATGTACCACGACGGCATTTTAAAATGTAATGAGCTGAACATTTGATGATAAACACATTAGGTTTTCATTTTCTCCCTAAATGATAACATAAATATGAACAATTTTCCAATGAAGTTCCCAAAAAATAATTTTTTCTAAATAAATCAATAGATATATATACATTGTGAAAATACAGCGAATTGAAATCCAATGCCATTTATATAGTTCGCACAAATGCATTTTTCGAATAAAATTCGGAAATTTTAATTATTTTATCAATTATATATGAAATACAATCAAGAGAATATTGGTGAAATTTTAAAGATTCTCATTTTAAAAGTATCATTTTTCGTACGATACATGCGCAATCTCAAAAGAGCAATAGCTTCGATATGGCGATGGTTCTGTTCCGAAATGAACAAATACACCGGTTGTGTTTATGACTATCGACTACTATCATCATTTGTATGTAGTGGAAGCGAGACAGCTATTATTTCAATGGGAAAAAAGCACGTTGACGTTATATTGCTAACTAGTTCAGTCTTGTGTAGCGCCCAAGTGGCGTAATGGCTAACGCGTCGGCCTCCTACTGAGCTGAAAAATTCATGTGAGTGAGCCGAAGATTGCGAGTTCGAATCTCGCCTTGGGTACTTTTTTTTTTATCACTCAATCTGTAATGCTCTCTTATTATTACAATGTCAAAGAAAAAACCCATCGAATATATATTCGATTTCATTTAATTAATAAATTGAAGTTTAAATCCTGAATTGATTTATTTACGTACGTACGTTATTGGGCACTTTATTTGAACACATATTTTTCTTCTAATTTGGTTCGATTCTGATGATATTTGTAATTTTTTTACTTGAAATTATGACGCCATTGGTGATGAAATTTTCTCGACTGTAATTGTTGGCAAGCAATAGCAACAACAAAATGAAATAAACAACAGATGTTCGAACGGAATATTAACAAGAAAAAAAAAACGAAAAAACCACAGGTATTTCAGAATGGTATTATACTTACCGTTTTATACAATTTTATAAATAAAAACGATATTTGACAAATATCACTGACTTACCGTCTTTCAAGTCACCAGCTTCAATTTCGGACACCTCGCTGGCCAAACTATCTAAACCTTCATTTTGCGACATTGCTTTCGTAGTCTGATCATTGGCTGGTGTTGGTTTGGTTTTCCAACCGAAACGGTTGTAATTATTTAAATTTGCACTTGGGTCACTAAGACGCCGCTGATGGCGATAATTCAGAAAATCATCCGGATCTTCATCCCATTCGTCATACATATCAGTCATACAAAATCTATCAACAATGAATGAAAACCAAACCATGCCACAAATTATTTCATCAGTATTATCTTCCTTTACTATTATTATTAGGCTTAAATCTGTTTACCCCGGTTCACTGGTGGGCGTCTCAACGCCAGATCCTTTTGGTTTAGTTACAGCCATTTCAGCATGTCCTTTTCCCTGTGGTCCCTTCATCCGCACGAATTCACATCGCGTTTGAGGACCAGCACCGCTGAACAAGCCAAACGTCATTCTTTGTGCTAATTTAGAGCTTATGCTTGATTGCTAAAATGAATCAATCGTATTGATTAGGAATATACAGTTCGGTAAATTAAATACAAGCATTCCATCTTACTCTTGCATCGTATACTCTTTTCAGTGCATCATATCGAATCGATCCTAAGAAGATAACACCTTGCACCGTCCCATCACGGTCATTTGCCACCAACTCTACACAAACCATCTCACCATCACGAACCATTATGTCACAAAATACCTATGAATTCGTTAGATGGTAGGTTTAAACTTGCCAAACTCTTTTTAAATTCATCGAACGCTCAAATTGAAATTACAAACTTACTTCATCAAAATTGTCCACCATAAAACAAATGTGCGGATAAGTCATCTCTTCGCCATCACCCTTCGTGTCCATTTTTCGGCGGCTCGGTGATGCATACACGCGTTGCGAATGACGCCGCAGTACTTGCAGCTCTTTCGGTGATGTACGTGTACAAATGGCCAACGTAAGCGTATAGTTAAATTGATGAATAATTAAATTTAAATAAACCGTTTCTTCCCAATCAACATCTGGATCACCGATTGGTAGTTTTCGTGAATCTTTGCGATAGACATCGACATCAGTTTCAAATTTTGGCATGTGCCTTGATGAACCTTTCACATGTTTTTTTCGCACGAAAAATAGTAAATCATCCGAGTCGATGCTTTGTTCCGTTTCAACTTGGAATAAAAAATGACGCACAAATAAATCAGTCCAGTATGTTGTTCCCTGCAGCATCACAAATCCGCCATCTATATTGATATCGAAATGGATAAATGAAGGAAACAATTCGATTGACAAATAATAATAAATTACATTTGGGAGGGTCGCAATTGTATAGTAATATTTTTTCTGGGATTCAATTCGCAATATATGTGAATTAAAGTTTACCATCTTTTAGCATTTGTCGCATTTCTTTGGCTCGCTGAAAATTGATCTCCTCCAATAGTTGTTGCAAAATACTCTGCGGCCTCAACAATGCCGAATTTGATAGCGCCATCCTTACTACTCACTTTTTCCGCTTTTTTTTCCAATGAAACTTTATATGTGTGTATGTTTTTTTCTTCTTCGTCTAAATATTCGTGTGTAGATTAGCAATAATCTTATATATAGATTATGAATTTTTTTTTACTCTTATGCTTTTTTTACTCATTTTTTTGTTATACAGCCGATATATGTTAGCATATATGTAGTATATTCCTGTGTTCAAGAAGTAGGAAGAATTAAAATTTTTATCATTTTACATTTGAACTTTGGCTTTGGGCAATGAAAATATACGTTTCGTAAACCGTTTATCTTTTATGAATTCACAGTGCAAATAAAACTTAAATTGGAGTAGATGTTTGTGGGGACTCGGAACCTCAAATCACTCTACCGTGATAAACTTGAAAAAAAATTATATTTCATTCTATTTTGTTTATAATTTTTATTATTGATGCGGATTGTTCAAACATTGCGTTATAAGGTCGTTGATTTGGACTTTTATTCTGTTTATTTTATGTTCTAAGGAGAAGAAATCCCCCAAATGACGAGCCAAATGGTAAACAAATAAATTATTTTGCTCTCAAAAATAGCATTGTCCAATGAATACACGAATAAAAAAATACTATGAAAAACGAAGCTAAATATGTACAACACTGCGCTTCACGGTAGTGTTACCACCATCACTGTTGTTTGCCTTTGTATCCCTCTAGCTTGTTCATTCTTGCATTTGTACACTCGCAAAACTATGTGCGCGTATTCGTGTTATGGGTTTATGGTTGTTGTTTTTCGTTGTTTTTATTTTGGATTGCCTGTTACATGGCTCAACTTGACACCAACACTTGCGCACCAACATCAGTAACAACAACAACTATCATTTTTTATGGAATCCCGTCAACAATGGCATTTCATTCGTAACTTCTATGGATCTTACTGTTTTCAATTACGGAGATATTTTCACATCAACTTTACTCAATTATTCATCTGGTTTGCAAAAAACTAATGTTAGCCACAAGCTTGTGCTCGTTTTGATATTTATTTATGGAATATTTCTTTAGCCTTTAATGAACGATTGAGACAGGAAACTGTGACAGACTTCTGCATGAATAATAAGACATGTATTACTCAAATGCATCATGGGTGTACACTTTACACTGTTTGAAACCAAAGAAATGTCAACAACATACTACCACATATAAGTATGTATGTCTTCATTATGTGTATGAATGTAGATGTATGTATGTGTGCGTGTGTGTGATTCAAAATTGGGATAGAACAAGAAAGAAAACAATGTTTTGATATTTTTGTCCCTTTAGGCATCAACAATTTATTTTAATGTGTGTAAACAACAAAGTGTAAACATTCAATTGGCGGTAGTTTTATTTTTGTGTTCCATCAATTTTCGTCTAAGCGGTGGTTTGCACACATCGAGTGGGCTGGCTTTTTCTTTATTACAGATTTCCGTTGATGCCCCTGCATCGATGAGCAAAATGGCACCGGTTGCGTCATCTCCTTCGCAGGCCAAATGAAGTGGAGTATTACCCAGATTATTTTGTGCGTTGATCAAAATTATTGGACTTGATTTGGGGTGTGTCAATAAAATACGAAGACATTCGTGATGTTCCATCGAAGCAACCCGATGCAACGGTGTGTCACCTATATGGTCTCGTACATTTGGATCGCCACCATGATCAAGTAAATACGACAACAGATCTTTATGGTTTTTCGAACCGGCATATTTAACTGGAATAAATATAATTAATAATACTAGACTGTAGCCAATTCTGATTTGATTTGATTGGGGTCAAAATATAATTCTAATTTACTGGGTGTATGGCCATTCGAATTTCGATGGTTAACATTGGCTCCACGATCGATGAGCATTCGGCAAATCGGCAATGATCCCTTCAGTGTGGCCAAAATTAGTGGTGTCGCATCGGTATCGTCAGGCTCATCAAATGGGGAATCTTTAAATTTCAACAAGAATTCCACCAAGCGTTCCTTTCCCATCACCGCTGCCCAATGCAAAATTGTACGATGATTTGCATCTTTTTGTGTTACCAAACTCGTGTCTTCCAATATCTTTGATTCAGACTCGACAAAATCCTCTGATGCAATTTGCATTAGATCAACTTTCGCAGCCATTTTAATTGGAAATTCTATTGAAATAAATAAAAACACGTTGTTGATTTGTTTTCTTTCTTTCTTGGCAAACAAAAATCTCTTACCGGTCTGGATTTACTCTTCAATGTTTTGCACAAAGGTACAATTATGACATTTGTCAGAACTTAAAAATGTCACGCGGTGGCGCCACATTCTTGTTCTATATTGTAAATATAATGTAAATACGAATATTCTATATTCAAAGATATGCCGGTATAAAAAAAAATCGGTGGTTTAAAAGCCCAGCTATAGCTTAAAAATTTAGTAAGATTTAAGAAAAATGGTTGATTAAATTTAATAAATAACTTCCATTGTAATTTTATAACTAACAAAATTTAGTGATCAATAGACATTCCATCATTATATATCTTTGCTGAAATCACCGAAATTAGTCCATGTATTATCGAAAAATCGAGGATCACCATTTGGATCTAGCGGTAAATTGGCAGGTAGAAGAGCTGTTTCGTTGTAGGCGTTCAACCTTTCCAATAAAGAATTCAGAATCTCGGGATGTCTTTTTCGGGAAAGAATAAAAGCAGAGTAAATAAATGACCTATAAATCGAATTGAAGAGTTTTTTTTTCAATTTCAAAATTTTTTCTTACTCATCAGCTAAGTTATTCTGCTCGCACGGATCTAGATTGACATTGAAAAGACATGGCTTTTCAAGTGGTCGACAAATAGATACAGAGTTTTGATTTTTCAAACAATCAACAGTGGCATCGGTTCGCATTTTTCGCATATGCTGAACTGTTGGCAGTAAATTTAGTTGATTCAATGCTTGACCAGCTGGACAGTTCGATACAGCATTGGCATTATACGCTGTCGTCGACCGGATTCCAGCCGGCCCATACCACTGATCCCAAGCGCCATTATAATTGGTTCCCTTATGAACTTTCCATTCACCAACCGTTAGTGAAGCACTTCCATAAATATCATCAATATTATGTAAAATTTCCGTGCGATTTGATTTTGTATCTTCTGAAAGGGACGACCACATGTTTTTTCCATCGAGAGTCGCGTTCAAATGCCTTGAATATGTTTTGATTACACATTGAATAAAATTTTCATTCTAGTTGTTGAAGTTCAAATTGGTTTGAATATTTACTCAACATTTCCTCCGGCAACATGGAACAATGTTGGAAGCCAGTCAGCGATGTGCATGGTTTGATTAGAGACGCGGTGTTTTTTCACAATTTTTGGACTGAATAGCAATGCAGCACCTCGTACCCCACCCTCCCATAATGTATTTTTAACACCTCGCAATGGCCAATTTGATGCTGCATTCAAATTAAACCCTTCAGCTGGACCACCGTTATCAGTGCTGAATATTATAATCGAATCATTTAGCATATTATTTTGGCTTAGTGCATGAACAACAGCTCCAACCGAATAGTCAAGATGTGTCATCATTGCTGAATGAAGAAAATTAAGGTGCTAAATTAACATCGCACTTCAATCAACTCTCATTGATTTGATCTTATTCACCCGCATATTTTCTCCGTGCAAAATCACTAATATGTGTAAATTTGCTTGTGGTTGAGTCCGGAGCTGGCAATCTGTGCACATATTCAAATAATTAACTTTTATCAAAATAAAAGCCAATCCAGTCTCTGTTTTAAAGTAATTGGTTTAGAACAGAGACTGGATTGGCTTTTATTTTGATCTTTAATCAACAGTCGGTAGTCATAAATAATTAGCTTTTATGTTGAATCTTATATTGATTTATAAATATCTAGTGAATACAAACGGATTATATGGATTGCCGGAATGGACAGCTGCATGAGCGATGTACAAAAATAATGGGATTGATGTATTGTGCGATCGAACAATTCGAACCGATTCATTGGTAATGATGTCCGTTGTATACTAGCCGTGCATGATGAAATACAATTTTATTCTCGAAGAAATATGCGTTAATATTGAATGTTGCAATAGCTACCTGACCGTGTAAATCATAGGCAACGTCCATTCCTCTTCGTATGTCGAAGCCCCATTGTCGTTGCTCGAATGCGGTATGATCAAAGTAATCATGATGACCTGTCCAATAGCCAATGTGACTGTCGAAGCCGCGATGCAATGGAGTATATTCACGCTTAAAATGTCCCAAGTGCCATTTTCCAACACAGTGATTTTTATAGCCCAATTCTCTCAAGTATTGTGGCAGTATTTTTTCCGTAAGAGGAAGTCCCCGTGGTTCAGCCGCATACAATACTGTGTGTTGCATTCCAGTATGGATCTGGAATAAATATAAATAATAATACTAGACTGCAGCCAATTCCAATTTGATTTGATTGGGGTCAAAATATAATTCTGATTTACTGGGTATTTGCCCGTCATCAGACTGGACCGCGATGGGGTACAAATTGGTGTTACATAGTAATTGTTAAGGATCAGACCGGCATAAGCAAGTGCATCGATATTTGGAGTGGGTATTTGAGCTGAACCTGCGAATCAAATAGGTATACAATCTGAATTTAGTCCGGCTATCTCTACTGTTGACCAGAAAATAACAAAAAGACTGTTACCATGAAAACTAACGTCATTCCATCCCTAGAATAATCAATAATAAAAAATAATCTAATTTTTCGAATGGAAAACAAAAATACCATGTCATCAGCCAATATGAAAATGATGTGTGGTCGTTTTTCGCCTATTTCACACATTATTTCGGTGTTAATTATTATACATGACGCCGCTACTGCAATGATTAGCGTTTTCAATTGTAGTGTTGCTAATGTTTCGTTGTCGTTATTGTTTTGAGAGAAGATCACCACCAAATGACGAAGCAAATGTTATTTTCAACACATTTAATACGACAAATTGTTACAAAATATTGATTAAAATTTATTTTAAATTGAATTTTCAAACATTTGTACCTATATAAACCATTTTACCGCACTTTGGAACCCCTTTTCTTCAGAAAGAATTTTTTCTTCTCCATAAATTAAAAGCCAAACCACACGGTTCTCGTTCACGTTTCCAACTATGACTAAGATGTAATATGTAAAATTAAATTTTCAAGCGACGCAATTTGATCAACCGCAACACTTGACTGACACTTTATCTGTGAGTGCAATTTTTGTTTGTTCAGTTCAGATTTCGTGTGACTGATCAACCAAAATAAATACTCATGCTCATCGTATATGGTGGATTATTCGTTTTTAGGTAGGATGTAGTGGGCGGCTCGACCAACGAATTAGATTAAATGAATGTTTTTTTTTTTTCGTGTTGTATTTCAGTTTCTGTTTTTGTTAAGTTTGTTGAACGCGCGGTGCGCACACATACAATATAAATTGCACGTTCTCCAAGCAATCGGCCAATGATGGCTGCATGCATGCCAATAACAAACGATTTAAACGATTTCATTTTCTACTTCTTTCACCCAAAGTCAAATGAACTCTTGAGGTTTTTGAGTGCTATTGTACAAACATTTTAGATGCCAAATACAAACACAGTTGTCATAGCATTCGCATGATGTCTTCTCTCATCTTGCCCATTAAATTCACACCTATTATGAGGTTTTTACCGGTCGATAGTGTGTTGTGCGTTTTGTATGCGGTAGCAGTGGTTTCGTTCGGAATGCACTGGTCGGATTTAAAAAATAATAAATTACACCTAATATGTTATAATTTAATTAATAATATTTAATTAAAATCGTAAAATACAATGATAAATACTTTGCACGTACCCTCCGTTAGTTACGAGTATTAGCGTCGTGGATTGGACGGCAAAATGTTGTTTGGTGAAAGTTTGTTTACATTGTTAAATATTCAGTTTTTTCTCTTTCATTTTAATTTTATCTCACTTGAGTATACTTTGAACAGCTCGTTTTTACTTGCGAGCATGTTTACATTGAAACTAATGCTATACATAGCACTGACCGTTCGATCAATTGTTTATTATGAACACACCATGGTCCACTACAACATTTAGCTTATTGCGTGTATATTGTTCAGTTATCTGTGCATGTGGTCATCATTAAACAATAGCGAGTATATGTGATACCGGAATTCAAGTTACAAGATTATCAACGATCACAACACGATTAACTGTGTTGAAAATTATTTCAATGGGACAATCGATCAGTACAATTGGTAAAAATTAATTAATGTTATTTTTATCATCATCTTGACTAAAATTTATTATTATTAAACTAGTTATTAAACCGAATATCAAATAGAGAACGCCAGTTTCATAAAAAAAAGTTTATTTTCGAGATATTTCTGAAAAATTTTCCGGACCGATTGATGAGATGAAATTTTCACAGCTTCTCACAGATGAGACTATAAGTCTTGTGTCATTTCGTTTCATTCGAATAAGTTTTGCCGTTCAGTCAACTCATGCTATGTAACTCCATTTGCAAAACAATTCAAATTGAACCCGGATAGTATTATTTTTAACATCTTTAAGTGTCATCGTTCTTTCAACTGAAGGTTCAATCATATTCAAAATGAAAAAATACCATTCACACTCTGAATACGTGTGAAGTTGGTGCAAATGCGATTTGAAATGTCAATATAGTCTGTCATAGCAATATCGATGGTGTTTTTCCGTCTTAAGTCTCTTGATTTTGCATAATAAAGTCAAAATTGAGAAACACAAACATGATTCGAACTATATTTCGCGGAGTAATTTTTGGTCGATACAATGTAAGTATCCCATTTTAATTCCATTAAAATGTTGAACTTAAGGGGATTTCAATGAATTTCAGGCTGTGGAACCAAGGATATTAGGTCGAAGTTTGTCTTCAAAAGAATCGTCTCCGACTGATGAATCGGATATTGTTCATTTAGATGATTCGGATTTCATCAAAATTCCTGAATATCCCATCAGGCCGAATGAACCTTTAGAAAATCGCAGACAAAGGTATTTATGCTCACTTAAATTGCTTTAAATGATAATGACGGTAAACTTATCCATTTCTTTTTTCTTCTTGCTGTTTAGGCTCCTATACCAAAGCCGTAAACGAGGAATGCTTGAGAATGATTTGCTGTTAAGCACGTTTGCCGCAAAGTATTTGAAAAAAATGACAGAAGAACAAATAGCCATGTACGATACTCTAATAAATAAACCATCCAACGATTGGGATATTTACAATTGGGCATTGGGCAGCAAACCAACACCACCAGAGTATGAAAATGAAATAATGGAAATGTTTCGTAAACACGTGAAAAATGACCTAAAAGAAAAGAGAATTCGAATGCCAGATCTATAAGTCAATTTATTTGTCATTTTCTTGATCATTTTTAGTACAGTTAATAAATGGCCACAAATGAAATGAGTAGTAGGAAAATGGGGATTCTGGGCCAACTCTTGCGTCGACCACATGGTTCTTGCATCATCCATGCGGTAGCAATGCGAACGCGTGCGTCATCCTAAGAGCGAAGCCCATACGTCGTACATCATTTACTCACTCGCTCACTCACACATTCAAT